AGCAATTATTGGGGAGGACTGTTTCATTCTGAAGGAATCCGCCCCACTACTTGAGTGTGTTGAGTTCACCACTGTCTTTGTCTTATTGCTTATTCTCTTGCTGCAATCATCACCACAATGCACCATAGAAAACATTACCGTTGTGTTCATGACCAACATTATTAAAAAAATTCAACAACTTGATGTATAGAACAAGTAAATGCATTTACCTTCCGGGAAATATACAGCCTTCATGACCTGAAATCAGTGATATGAAGAGGGGGGAAATTAAATTCATTGTCATTCATCATCAGAATGCATCAGAAAGGACCCATGTAGTGAAACTTTTGATCATTTGGGTACAGAAAGGGACATCATTTTTGAATTCAAATGCTAGCTCAGTTATTGTAAAGAAAGCCCACATCAAAAGGCAGATCCTTTTGCTTCCTAAGCAAATCTCATAATTGTCTCCAACCACCGACCATTTATGCAACTATTTGACTTCAAAAAACACAGATTTTCCACAACTGCAATCACTTGAAAAGTTGCCAAAAGAAACATTAGTTATGCACAATCCCAAAAGCTGAAGGCTTTCCAATAATTAGCACCACAGTGTACAGTTTAAAGACATAGCATGTTTAGGAGATGGCATTGCAAAGCTGAATCTCTGATCCACTCAAACTGAACCATATTATTGCAGCACATTCTCAAACTAAAAGGAAAAAGTACTTACTTGGATCGGTTGTAGTAATCATGGCCACACCCTTGAAATCACAAGACCCAGAGGCCCTCCCTGACTTCTGATAATAACTATCAAATGCATAAGAAGCATGATTCTTCACATTATTAGGCTGATAACAAGTCTCCCCGGGCTGAATCTCGCTGCAATTTGCTCTCCCGGGGCCACATGCCCAATCCAACGCAGTCTGCAGCATCTTCCCATCCACTTCATCCATAGCCACACAGTACGTCTGATTCGTAGTATCATTCGCCAAAAAAGTCCCACTCCCAGATACGTGAAGCAGATAAACAGGCGTCGAGTTCCCGTGGAACAACCCCCAGTTAGCCTCAGACACCGGGGGAGCTCTCAAATCCTCATTGAACAGTTCATATATGTACACACTCGAAGTAACCTCAGGATGCAAAGGACTACCACTTCTATCGAAAACATGCTTGATCAAGTTCGAATTATAAGTATCAGCATTATCCACAGTAGCATAAGGCTCCTTAGAATCACCCTTTGAAGGCCATCCACTTTCGGTGACAAGCACCACCACATCAGTCACATTCAAGTTCTTCATAGAGAAATAAGCAGCATCAATCATTGCATCCAGCACATTGGTATAATGCAACAACGTATTGGGGTCAACCATCTCCTTAGTAGGAGTCAAGGGCTTGAACAAAGAGTTATCAAGTGGGACTACCCCTTTGTTTTGCATGAACACATAGTAAGGGTAAAGATTCATCATTAAAGGAGAACCAGTTCTGGACAAGAACTTAAGCAAAGGAACCATAACGGAGCTCAAACTCTGGTTGAAAAAAGACTGGGAAGGTGGGAAAGGGTCGAGAATCACAGAAGCAGCTAATGGAGTGGAGATCTTAATCTGGGTATGCAAATTTGCAGCAACTAACCCACTGTAGAGCGACTCAATTGCAGGAACAAGCAAAGGGGCAGAAGAAGGAACAGTGGTCAAAACCTCATCTCCAACAGCAATCGCAGTGATTAGAGTTTGTGGGTAGTAAGCAACTACATTGCGATCAATCCATGAAGCTGCTGTGGTGTTGGAAGACCCAATTGCGAGGAGCTGGTTGTTGGGCACGCTGATGATTACCCGGATCTTGGTTTTCGCCAGGGCTTTAAGAATCTCAGGGTTCGCATCGTAGAGACGAACGTGGGTGACCTTCTGCGCCTGGAGGAAAGCCACTACGTTGGCTGGTGGCAAGAGATTGGAAACGTCGGTGCCTATGTTGAACCCCACGAAAGGATCGTTGTCCTGTTGTTTCAGCTCGTTATTGAATTGGGCTGCTGAGGAAGAAACAGCGAGTGATTCACTAGCTGCAATCAAAGCAAAAATTCCCCCACAAAATTCGAAGAAAAGGGATTAGGAAAAGAGTAAAGCTTTCTAAGAAAGGTAAAAACTTTAAGATGATAGAACAAGAATAGTACCTCGGGAGAGGAAGAAGAAGATGAAGAAGAACAAGAAGAGAGGATTAGAGGCGGTAGGCATTGTTGTTGTAATTGCAGAAGAAGGCAGCTTCTGCGGCGTCGTCCTCTGTTTTCTGGTTCAGCCAATCCTGGCATTATCTATCCTCTGTTTATCGTTGCCCCTTTTTCTCTCTTCTGGGTTCTGGAATCGTCGTCAGTAGGTGTTTTCTAGTTCATCGAACTGAGCTGCTACAGTTGAGAGATGGAAGAAGAAGTAGTAACCATTACTAATTCCAAAACTCTCTGTTAAAATTCCCCAACCATTTTGACTGCAGGGTGGATTTGAAGAGAGAATTTAGTTGGGAGATTGGGTGGGGAACTATTTGTCTCTCTGAAATCTACTGGTCCATTATGACGACAGAGAATCGAGCTGGTTGAGTGAGTGAAGAGTCAAGTTTGGAGTTTGATTTACTATAAGGACCTTATCGGCCGACATGGGAGAAGGGAGAGGGAGATGGGTATATACGGGCATTTGGGAGAAAGAGTGAGGACGTGACGATCTGACAGGGCAGAGAGACAGAGAGCCATAGCTTGGGTTGGCTGCTTGCTTTGCTTGTCTCTCTGGTTCTTCCAAGTCACGGACTTGACAATCACGGGCCAGGCCAGGCTGGCATTTTTCGTCGGGTTGGTTGGTATAGGTGTAAGTAATCATCTCGCAACACTACACCGTGGGCTGCGGGGATGACACGATGTGGACTAAGGCCTACGGGCTACGAGCCCATAACCCACAGCCCACTTTCCCCTGGATTAGGGTTGTAAAATGAGATATTTTGGGATAAATGGGAGAAAGAGAGGGGTAAAAGGAGAAAGGAGGAAAAGGTTGGATTTATCATATACATTTGGGGAACAATAATATAAAAGGAGGCAATTGTTGTCAAACAGTATCGAAAATTATGCAAGAAATGTTAATGGTATGTTGTTATGAATTAAATCAGGATTGAATTATGATCCAAATGTTTCATATCGTTCTAAAATGACCTACCGTTTATGGTTTAGTATTTTATATTTTCGGACGGACCGACCTGTGCGATAGATTTCCAAAACATTTATTACGAAACGACATTCCCGCGGGGTTAAGATAGCGTCACAACCTTCATAGGGGTTGTGATTTTCACTTCCTCCTTCGCAGCCATTAGATCCACCTAGGGCTGTTAATGAACCAAGCCGCTCATGAACGGCTCGGTGTGCGACTTGAGAAAAACTCGTTCGACACTCGATTCGTTTTAATCGAGTCGGCTCGCGAACAAGCTCGTTAACTAAACGAGCCGAACTCGAGCCACCCCATGTTCAGCTCGAAAGCTCGCGAACAAGCTCATTTAATGGTTTGACATAAAAAAGGATTAGAATTCATGGATTTTATGTATTGAAATTGGGATAAATATTGTGTTTTACTTTGCTAGACTTTGCTACAGGTTTGAATGTAATTTTGTGTGCAGTTCTAGGTCAATCTTGAGCTATCATGAACATTTTATGAGCTGAACTCGAATCTGGACTCGTTAAACTTATTTGACGAGCCGAGCTCGAGCTTTCATTTTCATAAACGAGCCGAGCTCGAGCTTGCATATTAAAGCTCGTGACGAACACGAGCCGAGCTCGAGCCTGAAAATATATTAACGAGTCGAGCCCGAACTATGGCAAAGCTCGGCTCAATAACAGCCCTAGATCCACCCTCTCTCTTGGTTTTTCAAATTAACGGTTTAGATTAAATGAAGGGTATTTTTGGAAGAGAAAAACTTACCACACAGGATCCTTTCTCATTTTCTATATAATCTGATTTCCTAAAAAAAAAATCTTCCTCTCTCCCCTCTCTCTTCCCTCTCCCGAGAACCCTAACTGCTCTTTGTCTCTCCCTCCTGTTGTCGTCGTCGCCGCTGCCGCCACCCCCTCCCGTCGCCACCGTCGTCGTCTTTCCCTCCCATCCCCACCGCCACCATCTCTCCCTCCCGCCGCAGCCGTCGCGTCCTCCGCCTCCCACCATCGCAACCCTCTCTCCTCCCTCCAACTCCTGTCACCGCCATCTCTCTCCCGCCGTCCTCCTCTGCCGCCGCCGCGAGGTAAAGACCTCTCCCCTTCCTTCTCCTTTCCTCATTCCTTAATTTTTTTTTCCAGATATGAGATTTTTCAGATTCCAGATCTTGTTTTTTTATGTTATTCTCTAGTGGTACTGATTTCTGTCTAGTGGTACGCTACCAGCGGTAGTGGTAGCGGTACCAGTGAGTAGTGGTACTGATTTCTGTCTAGTGGTACGCTACCAGTGGTAGTGGTATAGTACCACTATTCACTGGTAGCGGTACAAGTGGTATTTGTAGCGTACCACTACTCACTAGTCACTGGTAGCGGTACGAGTGGTATTTGTAGCGTACCACTACTCACTAGTACGTACCACTACTACTGGTAGCGTACCACTAGATGAAAATCAGTACCATTAGCACACTGACGGAATGGTTTTTTTGCAGTTGGCCGGAGCGAGTCTGATTGGAGGATTTCACCGGAAAAATTCTTCGGCCAGAAAAACTTTGGCGGTCGGAGTGAAGAGGTTGCTGGAAAAGAAAGAGAGAGAGATATAAGCGTATTAATTATAGGATTTAAATTAAAAAAGTATTTAATTTCAGTTTTTAATTCCCTAATTAATACAAAAATAAATAAATAATAAATTATGTTTTTTTTCATACCCAAATTGCCCTTGGATGTGACGGTAACTCATCCCCATTCCCACGTGTTTTTCCTGAATTGTCCAATGGACAAAATACTTCATTAAACTTGTTTTGTAAGTTAAACAACAAAAAGATTAACGCACAAAATTCGATTAATAGTAATACGTTCAGAAGTCCATATCCTATTCATTATCATCAGAATGAAGCTCGTGCCATGATTAACCGCAACACATGCCTCCTACACAAAAATCTGCTGCTTTTGATATTTCTGAAATCATCTTCATGTATCCCTTTCATGTTTTGTGATCATGCTCACAACGTTAACGTAATGAACTAATGATGTTAGTCATTAGCTATAATGATTCCACTTCATCCTGCAACAGTACCACATGTGTTCACCAGTTGCAGCATCAGGACAAAGCACGTTTACCCACCTGCAATGTTTTTCACCTGCCGACTGCACGTTGTAATTCGCACGTTAACAGATTCGCTCACCTCAAATTTTCACTTCTCAGTGCCAATTTTCCATACACATACCGACCAAAACGGCAAACAACATCCCAAATCGAACGACATCAATTACTCCCCCACTGTCATCAACCTATAAACCCAAAATTTTGCCTCATATAGGCGACCATCATCTCCATCTCCCCGACCCTTTCTATACAAACAGCAATCAAAGAAAAGCTAGACACACAGGATACAGCTATTACACTGCTACTGCTAACAAACCTAACATGAAGCAAACAACTAAGTTCTGCTCCCCATGAAGTTCATCATTATTCCCGTCTTCAAAAGAACCAGAACTACTTCCCTTTCCCCCATCCCCAAATCACCTCAAAGCATTCACGAAAGCCATCAGCGAATCAACATCCCTCTGCTCCGAGGGATACTTGATTGGCCTCGACGAATGTTTGGGGAAGAAGAGGATCGTCGGGAAGCTCCCCAGCTGCAGCTCTTGCTTGGCGAATTCCTTCTGCTCACCATCCGCCTGAAACTTCCCCACCTTCACTCCACTCCCTGCCAATTTCTCCGCCAGCTCGACGTACGAGCTCTCCATCCCCTGGCAGAACTGGCACCACGGTGCGTACAGCACGACGATCCACGGCTCTTCCCTCTTCTCCAACTTCAATAAGTTCTCCATCCCGTTCCTGCTCAATGCCACCAGGTTCTTCCCCTCAAATAGGTCTCGGTTTGCAGTTCCGTTGACAGGCACTTCCTGAGCGTCCTGTTTCAAGTTCCCCTTGTGGAGGCCGCACTCTTTGGCCTTGGCATCCTCCCACCACCACCTACCTTCTCTCTCGTGCTGTCCGGGGAGGACAGCTCGAGTGCAGGGCTCGCAACCGATCGACACGTAACCTTGAGAATGCAGTGAGTTCACAGGCACCTCCATTGCACGGAGGAACTTCCAGATATCTCCACCGTCTACATTGGCCACTGGGTTCCACTTGATCAAGCTCCCGGCTCCACCTTCCAATCCTTCGAAAACCGGGTCGACTTGCACGACTGGGACCTCGGACCGGGTTCCTGGTGACTGATCCTTTCTCTGGCCAGTGATCCATGCCCTGAGACCCTTCAGAGCTCGGCGTAAGGGTCTGACTTTCCTGACTCGGCAGCACTCCTGGTGGCCGTCCTCGTAGAATGAGAAGAGGCCCTTGCTGCGAACCAGTGCTTGCACTTCTACTGCGTCAGGGAACATGTACTCGATCCGGATTCCGTAATGCTTTTCGACCGCGTCGAAGAATTGGTATGTTTCCGGGTTTAATCTGCCGGTGTCCAAGCTGAAGACCCTGAAGGGGCGTCCTGTCAGCTTCGCGTATTCGATCAATGCTACGTCTTCTGCGCCACTGCAGAAGAGGAAAAGAACAAGCAGCAATTCACCATTAGCGAAACTAGCTAGAATCATTTTCCAAGTGTATTCATACATTCATATGGTTCCCCTAATCCAGCAATCAGAATGTTTCATCCGTCTACTTCTCTCTTCACTCACCAATCAAACGGAAATTGCTGGGGGAATTGAATTGGGGGAAACGAAATGAACTAAGACCTAAAGATTGAATTCGAAACTTGATATCATCGAGCAAATAAGAGAGGAATTCGATTCAAATCTCTACCTGAACGCGATTGCAATATCGTTGCCGAATTTCTCCAGAGCCTTGTCCATGATTTGCAAGGGAGAAGCGTTCTCGAGCTGCTTTGCTAGCTGCTCGTAGTCTTCCACCTCCACTTTCTCCGCCACTTCTGTAATTAAATACAACGACGGTTCAGCGATGACAAAATTGAGAACGAAGGAGCTAATTAACACAAACGCGAAAAAAGGTCGGATTCCTACCGGGAGTGGCGACGGCGGCAGCGAGAGGAACGATTCCATCGTTACGCTTCGGCTCCGCATTCACCGGCCTCACGGACGACGCGCGCCTCTGGGAGGAGAGGTTGACGGCGGCGGCGGAGCGACGGTCCAACAATCGGAACGAGCCAATTCGAGGAGCTAAACCAAAACACAAAAAAACAAAAATCGATAAATTGAAGGGGAGCAAAAAAACAAAGCACGAAATCAACAGTTGGAGCGCGTAATCGTGAACACACCATTGGGCTCAGAGGGAGAACCAGTGGAGCGAGCGAGATTAGAAGCCGAAATCGCGGTGGTGGAAGAAGAGGTTGCGACGAAGGCCATGGTGAGTATGGTGCTTTGCCTTGTAATCGCTTTGTGTTTAACTTCGCCGGAAAATGATATCGGAGACGGGAAATCGGGATTGTTTGGTTGCTGTTCGTTTTTTCCCTTTCTGTGCGGTGGTGGGTTTTAGATTCGGGAGTATTGGGAAGGGACCGTTAAATAATAGGAGGGCTTCGGATTTCATGGTTCATTGAACCTGGACGCTATTATTTCTGGGCTCAGCCATTTTGTTACGTGGATTATTTTCATTGGCTAGACGGAGAACCCTCATCAGCGCTTTCGTCACAAGTGGCTTGGGGCCCTTTGCTTGCGTGGCTGCATCGGCGGGAATTTTGGCAAAGGAGGGAGGAATCTTAGAAACGGCACAAGCCAAGCCACTGTTACATAATGGAATATGGTCAATTTTTGCCGCTTTAGTTTTTCTGTTTCCATATAATTGAGAAAAAAGTGAAATATAGTTAGTAATTTGTAATATTAATCATCCAATGAGTAACTAACTGCATAAAAAGGGTTTCATCTTAGGAATAACAATCTCCAGTGATTCTCGTCGTAATCCCACATTTATTCGTTGGCAAGAGAATGAATCGTCACAATCAAAATGAAATTTAAAATGGATGAAATGACCATAATTACGAAGGTGTAAAGTCGACGACTTGTTTAGCTTTTCGATATGTGCGATACATTTTCAAAACTCATTTTCTTCCTGAAAGTATCTTGTATTTCGTGTTCATGACTGCATAAATGACCCAAGTACTCCCGTTGTAAAAGAAATTGGTTAACTTGTTCTAAATATTATTCAAGATATTTGAGCAACTCTATTTGCAGAGGCATTTAAAATAAAAAAAATTTACTTCGAATTCATTACCATAATGAATTTTTCGTTATAGTAATCCCTTATATACCATCAAATTATCAGTTTTCTTCCCCTTTTGAATTAGCCTCACCCTTATACATTTTTGCACATCCTCTTTTTCTTTTTTTCTTTTTTTCTTTTGCTAGTGTGTGATGCTCACCCAAAAAGAGAAGGAATTTGGAGGAACCATTATTTGATGGACTATATTATTTTGCCTATCTCTATGTTCTTGTGAAGATCCTTAGCGGTCGAAATTGTAACCACACGAGAAGGGAAGAAGATAACAAAAGATAGCGAAGAATCTATGGGCCCGCCCGTCGAAATTGACTTCCGAAGGCCTCTTCCCCCATGGGCTTCATTTGTGGCCCTGGTGTCGTGTCGTGTGGCAACCATGAATCCAACTTATTTATTCATTTTTCTTTTTATTTAATTTCAAGTCTCTAACGTTACAGTCCATTTGCCCACCGCTACTGTTGGTCTGTAGTCTATTTTGTCTGTGTTATGGCGTCTAAGGAAAAGCATATTATTCGCGGCTCTTGGAGGGCTGGGAAACGGAAATGCTCCGTCGCCATCGCTAATTTCTCTTTTTCTTTTTTGTTAAATTGGATCTGGATCATCAATCCACTAATTTACTAATGGTTTAGCTTTGGTAAAGGGGCAAATAAAATCAAAAGGGCGGGAAGTGTTAACCATTAACGAAAGTGAACGAGGACGGGATTAAGGTAAAAATCAATCCATATCATAAGCTGGTCATAAACCACCGCGACAAAGCCGCTGCTGCTTTTGACTATTTAATTACTTCCATAACAATAATTAAACTACAAAATATTAGTCAATTGGACGACGTAACTCAAAATCAATTTGCAATTTGCAAGTTGGTGGAGCTTTCCCTTTACTTTACCCCTTCAACTTTTGCTGTAAAGGAGGAAAGGAGAAAGCGAAATGGTAAAGGAAAGAAGAAACTAGTCCAGCCGAGGAACGGGCCTTCAGGCCCATCTTGCATCCCAGTTCTAATCGCCCAATTATATGTTGGGCCTCATGATCCAATCGAGTCAATTTACACATTGGGCCTAATACCGACCCAACTGTGGTTTCACGGATATGAATGGCCCAACTTTAGTTCAGTTTCCACAATCCAAAGCCCATAGCTGACTCACTGCCGGCCGATGAGAGTGATCCAGCTCGAACTACCGTTCTTCCGCCGTGACCAAACGGAATGAAAACAAAAAAGAGGTAGGTGGGAATGGATTTCCGTTATGCCTTTTTTTCAGTGCTGTCAAAGCCGAACCGAGCCGGCCGGCCGGACCGCCAAAGCCGTCACCCGGCCATAAAACCGGCTCGGATCAGCTATTTAACCGCCACGGTTTTATACAGCGGCCGGCGAGCGGCCGAAGCGGTTAACCGCTCGAGCCGCTCAAGCCGGTCGCGCGGTTCGGCCGTTTGGTTTACCCTAAAAAAAAGGCCAATCGTGGAATGGGGCAGCCAAACAAAACCCTAACTTTCATTTTATTTCTTCATCTTCGACCTAGAAGTAGAACAGATGACAGAGGGAGAGCGACGCCACCCTGCCGCCGTCAACCTTCGCCCCACCGCTTCCGTCCCGTCGCCGCAAGCAGCGCGCCATCCTACAGCCGGGTAATTCATCTCTCTTCTTCTTCTTCACTCTTTCCGTTGGTTCTAGGGATTTCTATGTTAGCGATTGGTTTACTGGGTATTTGATTAGTGGTGGATCTAGTAGTCGTTTGTCTGATCTTGACGTGATTAGCGTAGATTTTGAGATTTGCTGATAGGGGCAGCTAGTTTGCTTACGAAATGGACTACCGGTTCTCAAACGGTTTTTAAACGGTCTAATGCCGGCTGGACCACTAATGACCGAGCCGTTCATGTTACCGGGTCATACTCCGGCTCGGCTTTGACAGCATTGCTTTTTTTATTGTGCCATGATGTTGTCGTGGCCCCTTTTTTGTGTCACCACGTGACAAAAGGACAAAGCAATCGTCAAGTGGTTAAAATGCGCACGTGCGAACTCAATCCACCGCGTTCAGTTCAGCCGGATCACAGCCGTTGATCAGCAGTGGAGATTCATCCACGACGACGAAATAACGGTCACCCAGCTCACAGGCTGTAACGCAGCAGACTCACAGTAATAAATAATTAAATTTATATATACTATACACAATGACTCAGACCAAATTACAATCGATCAAACCAGAAAGCTCACTCTTTCCAGCTTCTTCTTCCCCACTTCATTTCTCAGCTAAGCTTCGCTAGGGTTTCTTTGACAATGGCGGAATCCGCGGCCGCGGCAGTTGCTCCAAGCGCCGAATTGCTGGAGTTTCCGAAGAAGGACAAGCGCCGGATGCTCCACGCCGTCTATCGCGTCGGCGACCTCGATCGCACCATTCAGTAAGCTCTCTCATCTTCTCCTTCTTCCTTTCTTTCTTTCTTCCCGTCGATCGATTTCGCTTTCGTCTCACTTATTGATCTGAACTCTAGGTTCTACACTGAGGGTCTTGGGATGAAGCTGCTTAGGAAGAGGGATATTCCAGATGAGAAATACTCCAACGCTTTCCTTGGATTTGGGCCCGAAGATTCACACTTCGTCGTCGAATTGACTTACAGTATGAATAGTCCTTTCATTTCGTTTGATCTTGGAAAGTAGAAGCTGAACCGTCTCGTTAATTTGGTCTTCCTTGTGCTTGCTTGCTTCAGATTATGGTGTGACTTCGTATGATATTGGCACTGGATTTGGGCACTTTGCTATTGCCACTGAAGATGTAAGTACAAACCATGAGTACATGACTGAACTTTCTGTTCTTTGCTTTGGGTGTTTGTGAGCTCAGAATATATACCGTCTTCCCATTGCTTTGGATAGGTTTACAAGCTGGTAGAGAACGTCCGAGCTAAGGGTGGAAGCGTGACCAGGGAGCCTGGTCCAGTGAAAGGTGGGAAGAGTGTCATTGCCTTCGTGAAAGATCCTGATGGTTACATGTTCGAGCTCATCCAGAGAGGCCCGACCCCCGAGCCGCTCTGCCAAGTTATGCTTCGTGTCGGCGACCTGGATCGTGCCATTAAGTTCTACGAGAAGGTGAGGAAATGCTCTTCTTCTTGCTCCTTATACTATCAAATTCAGGGTTCTTCATTGCAAAACTGACAGCTTTGGTTGTTGGATCTTGTATAATAGGCATTGGGGATGAAGGTGTTGAGGACTATTGACAGGCCTGAATACAAGGTGAGAGATGGTTGTTTCTTTTATTGACTGTAAGTGGGAAAGTGAATTCCTTTTTGCTTTGCTAGCCTCTGATGTTCTCTATTTTGCTCACGACAGTACACATTGGCCATGATGGGTTATGCTGATGAGGATAAGACGACTGTTTTGGAGCTGACTTACAACTATGGTGTGACTGAATACACCAAGGGGAATGCATATGCTCAGATTGCTATTGGCACCGACGATGTCTACAAAAGTGCCGAGGTGATCAACCATGTCATCCAGGAAGTTGGTGGTGGGAAGATTACTCGACAACCAGGCCCCCTTCCCGGGATCAACACCAAGATCACTTCTTTTCTGGACCCTGATGGCTGGAAAACTGTAAGTTTCCTTCTCTAGCCTCCCACGAACTCGTCGAATCGATCGCCCTTTTGCTTCATCAGTTATCTCGCGTTAATGAAGAAGATGGTGATGATTCATTTCTGGTGATGCCTTGGGCTGTTCGTTTTTGTAGGTGTTGGTTGACAATGAAGATTTCCTGAAGGAATTGCAGTGAAGCGAGTTTGATAGTTGACTGGCTCTGGATATCTGTTGAGCAAATGGACTGCGGAATCATGTACTCTGTATTGCTAGTGTAGTAGTATGAATAAGTGTTGAATGAACTTGAGAGAGCAGAGTGTAATTTTATCTTAAACTCGATTAAGTCTTGTTGCTTGCTCTAATTATGGACACCCACCCTTCGCCTTTTAGTAGGGTGTGGAATGTTAGGAGCTTGTTAATGTGAGATATATGGGTTTTTTCTTTACATGTTATTTTACTATCTAGGCTACAGCCTGAACTGCGAGCTTTCATTAGCTGCATATAACCTGCAAATGATTTTTCATCTTCACCCAAGTCTTCATGCAGGAAAAATGAAAAGTTTGACTGAATAAGGAAAACTGCATAAGTGTTAAATTGCGAATTTAATTGTGCTCCTTTGTAAGTGTTAAATTGCGAATTTAATTGTGCTCCTTTGTAAAAGTAGGGCGGATTTAGTAATATGAGCGATAAATAAGTATCGAGATTTCTCGGCTTGCAAGTACCTTATTAGCAAAGTTCTAAATCAAATTTTGTGTGTTTTGCTTTATGGCTGCAATAGATCCACCTACAAGCATTCCTTTGTAAACCAAACCAAGCAAACTTTCACCTATGCAGGACTGGAAAGGGGAAAAGGCTGCTTAATGCACTTAAGCAGTTATTTAGTTACTTAGTTATTGACATCTTAATGAAAACTTATTTAGTTATAGATTGTAGCCGAACAACAAAATGAAAGGAGCCAAAAACATTACTAGGTAGAAGGATACAAAAACAAAGTTCACAACTTTCACCAACAACAAAAGACAATTAAAAATAAGATCACAAAGAAGCAAAGAAACAAGCAAATTCTCCTTATGCGTCTGGCTGGCTGGCTGGCTTGTTGCGTTTACTTGGGCGGTGGGATCCATACAGGCATAGGACTGTTACGTATAGAGGCAGAGAAGGGCTGGATAGTGCCGGTGGTCAAATTGTAGATGCCCATGTCGTGACCTGCATAACGCTTTTCGTTCCACCATGGATAGCAGTCATGAGTAGCATCGTCCGTGAAGTAAATGGAATTAGCCATCAGCTCCGGATGCTCTTCCGTGGAGACGAAGGTAGGAGAATTAAAACCCACGAACAAGGCAAAATCACCGATACTATCCACCTCATCCCATCCTTTCCAGCCTCGGCCGTCGTTTATCCAGTTATCATCGTCGGCTATCCGCCTGAACACCCTAAACTTGCTGGTCCAGTAAGTTACGACGCTCGTAGTAGCCACACCATCATCATCATCGTCAGGTTCATCAACAGCCTCTTTCTCCTCCTCACCATCGTTGTATTTTGCAGCATACTTGCTGTCAAAGAGAGCATCATTCTCCGGCGAGACACATATGTGTCTAGTAACCATCATCAATTCGTCTCCGTCCGGACTTATCACCAAGTAGCGAGTGTCGGAGACAACAAGATCGAGTTCATTGTCGCGCAACGAAAGCTTGGGCTGATCGGGATTAGAAAGATCGCAGGCGTAAACACCACCGTCGTGGTCAAGGGTGTAGAATTGGCCCTTCCAGAAGGCCACATCAGCAAAAGGGATGGTTGCACGGTGAGGAATCGGCGTCCACTTCGCATCGCCGGGCTTGCAAAACGCTAGGCTGTAATTGTCACAAAAACAGATGGCCATCACGATGGGCTCGTCCTCCTCCTTCGAGGAGCTGGGATCCGCTGACACGGCGGCTCTTTTGTCAATGGCGGCAAGGGAATCTGATTCCCCGTCAGAGGGTTCAGTAAGAAGACGGGCGGAGTTTGCTGGACCATAAACAGCCAGCCGAAGGCAGAGCCCCGGCAGGTTTTGTCAACCGGGAAGTCAACGCGGTCGTCGCGAAACTGCTGCTCCGCCACATCGTAGCAGCGAGTGTCTTTATCGCCATCGGCGCGGCACAGGAGCCATGGCGCGGCAGCGGATTGTCGGAGCATGTTATGGAATTTGGGGATTCTACTGTTCTGTGATTCGGGGCTTGATCTGCAAAAACCTATTTATACTAAAAACATTGATGCTGCTGATCTCTTCCTACAATGATTTGGATTTGGATTTGGATTTGGAATTCGATTTGGATTGGGAATCCTACTCCGAAACGAAAATCCTGAATAAGGAATAAATACAGAAGCTCTCTATAATCATGGCGCCCCTGGGACATTTGGCGCCAATTTTGTAGTGTTTCCTTGTGTGGACTGGGTGTTTTTTTTATGTACTTACTGTCAACGGTCAAGAACTAGTTGATCCCAATAACTCGAGTTGTTGGGAGAGGTTCAATCACGAGCAGTTGTCTTGTTGACAATGGTGGGCATCACAACTTCCGTCAGCGAGAGATTAATCCAGGCAAGGACGAGCTGATCATTCTCGTACCAGGTGGCATAGGCTGGATTGGGTTGACTCCCGACAGTCAAGGGAGGAGGAGGAAGAAGAGTGTCATCGATGTATTCGATGAGACGATTACATCGGAGCAGAGGGTTAATCTGAGCACGCCACAGCAAATAATTGGTTGGATTTAATTTGACAGTGAGCTGGGGATTTGAAGGGATCAGCAGGCGCTGTGGAGAGGGAGATTGGATGGATGGAGAAGAAGAATCAGATGTAGTGGAGGAAGTCGCCATTGGAGGAAGAAGCAGAGGACAAGAAAGAAGAAAGGAAAAGGTATGTAACTCATTTGAGTTTATCTGGCTCTGATACCATGTCAAGAACGAGTTGATCCCAATAACTCGAGTTGTTGGGAGAGGTTCAATCGTGGATCTTATACCACTCTCTAACACTTACCTTATTGCTTGAACTGCTGTAGCAGCTTTCAGCTATTCGATTGATCGAGCCTTCATTAGCTCCATATAACCCGAAAATGATTTCCCCCTCTTCTCCAAAGTCTTCATGCAGGAAAAATGGAAGTTGTTAGCTTTGACAAATAGGGGAAACTGCAGCAGCAATCTCACTCAAGTTCAACTTCTCCTTATAAAGTTATAGACAGACACATTTTCCAGAATTGACAGAGGGAATTCCCTCAGCTCACATCGTTCTTGTAAACTATGCAAGGAGTTGCTGCAGTATCCCTCCAAGAACCGGAACAAAACTGAAAGAGAAAGAAGGAAAGCAGAAATGAAGGGGAAAAAACGCTGGCTCCTTTACAACAAGTCGGCAACCATCAGCAGTGCATCGATGGCGCGCCTTCCCTATCTCTATCATCTGTCTGTACAACATACGCCACTGCCCAACTGTTTCTTTTTCTTATCAGCCAACTGCTTTCCTTTCTGTCTTGCTACTCAAGTAAAACACACCGCGGGCTCACCTTATCGAATGGTATCCATTGGGTAGCTACCGAGAACTCGAAGGAATCTAGCAAACTCCTGCAGGAACAGCCAGCACACCAAAAAAAACATAAACATATCTTCAACAAAACCAGAACTAACTTATCGTTTGAAAGACAGCTGATGATAGAAGTTCAATAAGATTTCAATTTTCATGCAGATGAAAGAGATGGTGAGAAAGGACCCTCGCCTCTAGGTTTCCCAGAGCACGCTGAGCTCGTGGTTCTGCCATGGAAGCTGCGAAGTCTATGTAAAAGAGGTAGTCGAAATACCTGTAAACACACACCACAAACCATTGGGAAAACAGAAAATTCAGTACAACCAAATATTCTGGAAGCCACGTAGATTTATGTCCCCCATGGCAACTCTCAACTTCACCCATGTCCCAAGTTTTACACTCTTAGTAGTATTCTGAATAGACCTTCTGTTTCGATACTCACTTGGCACTGCCGTTGTTAGAACCGTCGACCACTCTCATTGGGCGCTTTCTCTGTGGCCGGCTCTCTATCTGCAAGTTTGTCAGAAGAGAGGTAAATAGATAGGAGCAGCCGGTGATTTTTCAATTTTACGGATGGAATATAAAAAGCTCTCACCTTTGTCAAGCTGATGCCCCTCATAGCAAACACTGCCAGTGCTTTGAACAGCACACCTGGACCTTCTTCAAGGGTGAAAACAATGCTTGTCTAGAAAAGACATTGAACAACACAGACAAAGTGACTACAAATTACTGAATGATGGATCTCTAATATTGCCTTGATATGCCAATGAAAGAATAAGCAGGAGTTAATGGTAATTACCCGATATGGCTTGTTGTTCCCAGCAATGATAGGTTCCCTCGCGAGTATAAGGAAGCGAGTAATGTTGTTTGCATCGTCCTAATAAAAATAATTGTAGTTCGAAAATAAAGTTACAATCTTTTCGCAGCCAGACTGAAGTCTCTCCAACAATTGGAATACTTTGGTCAAATCATAAGTTATGATGCCCTATATATACATACATCACTCCTCCTTCACGAAGTAGTAATCGAACACAATTACATGGCCACCGCAAAAACACAGTTAGGTTCAAATTAGTGAATCCTCTAACAAGTTTTTTGACAGACAAAATGTAGCTCAAACGGCTGTTCAAACAGTTAAAAAGATTTTGGGAACTCATTTTACATCCATGGACCAACTTGGTACAGAGGCACAGGGAAGGCCCTAAAGAAACTCCTTAACTATTTTCAGATGCTTTAGTGTAGAGCTCGAATATAAACACCCATGTTCCTGGAATGAGAGTCACTACTTATTTTTCTCTTACAGGCCTGAAAACAAATTCCAGATCCCAATATGTGGTATGAGAATAACACACTTCCAGAAACTTCAACAAGTTGGATGGAACTTGGAAGAAATAGAAGACCAATCGTTTTCTCACTAGGGTGAGGTCAATGATTAGTGCTAATAATCAGAATCGATTTCTTTCGTACATATATCCAAAATTAAGTGGAAGGAAAGAGGCCATAATGCTCACCTGAACATTTTTAGCTACAATATCAAGACCATAGATCTCAGCTGCTCGAGCACTAGCAACTGCCCCAGTGTCTCTTTGGCCACTTGCAGCTACTATCTGTTGACCATTTCTTCTTCCTTAGCATACAAGTATCTATAGTTTGTTCAAATGTTATTGAAAAGATGATTCTGGACATAACCTGAGCAGCACCAGCAGTATCATCAGCATTGACTCGAGTAATATTTAAGTTGCTCAATGTCATCTCACACTGAGCGAGTGCCTGCAAATAATAACAGAATTGCACCATCATTTCCCATGTTGCTGGATTGCACAACAAGCTACCATCAAATGCATGAGTTTTCCCTGGGGGATTCACCCCAAATGTTTCATTTCCCATGTTGCTGGATTGCACAACAAGCTACCATCAAATGCATGAGTTTTCCCTGGGGGATTCACCCCAAATGTTTATCTTCCAGAACTTAAAGATACTTGACTAAGCCAGAATTAATATTTTACAGAATCTAGGCATTTCGGCAGACAGCTATCGACACTGAAGGCTTCATTGGGAAACATTTCTCTAAGAAGAGCAGTGTAAATCTATCAAACTGACAAAGAAAAGTCAGCTGAAGGAGCTAAAAAATTACCCTAATAGAATATATTGATAGTTAACGAACAAATTACTTAAAACATCAGTGCCAAGTACTAAAAATGATATATTAATGACTCACTTGGGGGTGGCTTAGTACACGTTTGAGCTCCTCCTTCCTTACACCAGGCAATGCCAAGAGGCAATGATTAACTTCCAGCTGTATCTCTCCTACTATATGAAGCCTATGGCGAAGGAGCAAGTCATAGTTACGATGGATGCTTCCACCAACTGAGTTCTCGATGGGGAGGACTGCTTTATCCACTAGCCAAAGTTCTACTGCCTATTAATTTGGATAAAAGGAATACCATGTTATATTGATAAAAAAAAAAGCAAGGACAAAGAAACAGGCATTTGTGATATTTAGTAACCTTGAAGGCAACTTCAAACTGATCACATGGTACTGTTTCACTACCCGGGTATGCCTTTAGTGCAGCAGCTTCGCTATATGCACCCGGAATCCCCTGAAAGATGGGCAGAAAAGGGCCATTCTTAGAATTCTGATGAAATTTGATTGTGCAAAAAAATTTCTGTTTAAGCACTAACCTGATATGCAACCCTCACTTTTGTGCCATCATCAGATGAATCGTCCGTTACACTTAACGGTCCTATATACGTCACACATACGACAGAAGAAGATCGATCGATTAGCATTTATTGAGGCCTCAAACAAATCTATCTCAACACCAATTATGAACAGAATGGCAATCATTGAGACCAGTATCATCACAAATCTATCTCAATTTGAATTGCACTTATCAGCATATTAAGCTCCTGATCATCCCATATAATCTCAATCATTTAGAACACATGTCACGTCATTCCACTTAAAACTTAAAAGACACGGGAACAACCAACTCAGAGGAGTAAAGCAAAGGAAACTCATCAACATTGGCAGCAATCTGAAAGCTTTTAACTTTCTTAAAGGTCCCTTTTCACAAAAGCTCATAGTTCCACCACTAATGCAGAACTCCAAAAGTTGTCCACTATGAATGACTACTTAATCAATTTGTCACATAACTAACAATACAAGAATCTAACTCAACAATTCATCAAAATTCGGACCTCCCAAGACACTAGCGATGAAAAACCTTAAACATACTGGGAAGAAAGTTGAGATCCCTGTGAAATCCCTTGGACACAATCTCCTTGGGGCCATGAATTGTTGCCCCAACAGGTTTAGCTGCTTCAGGGGTCAGAGGCTTCTCATCATCGACCGGAGTGACACTTGTCTGAGCAGGAACCAACGCCCAACGGCATTGCCATTTCCTAAACAGCCTATCCGGCCCCGAATCACGACCCACGGCAATGAGCCCGGGTCTCGCATGCGACCCGGGAGAATCTGGACGAGAGTTGAACTGGGCGCCGACCCAGATGGACTCCGCAGCTCTCAGGGCCATGAAAAGGTTTGCAAATTGCAAAGCAACAAGCTCTTTTACAGCAATGCGAGACCAGAAATGGAGACACGGGAAACACAGCAATGGAACCCCCAGTGAGAAAATTCGTCAGTGAAAATCGGGGAAATGAGGGAAATCACTGTGATGGGTAGCTGAACAAATTTGACCTTCTTTCTTCCTTTTTCCCCCCTTCTTCAGTTGCTCTGTTGGCAACGGGCGAAAATGGCGAGCAGATGGAATTGGGGGAAAGGAGAGGAAGGAGGGTTCTTCTCTTGGAATTTGGTGAAGGAGAAGAAGCGTTTTCAGTTGGGTAAGCTATTAATGGGTAATGCAGCGGCCAGTAGGCGCCGCAGCTGCATAGTGCAGTAACCTTCCCCGCGTTTGTTTTGGTTTTTGTTGGTTTTGCTTCTTCTGGACTTACGGTTTCTAGATTTGTTTTCCATTTTTGCCAGTACACGTTGCCATGTATAACTCCATAAATAAACTTCCTACAAGTCTGAAACTTTTTTTTCTGGGAAGCAACGAAATGGGCCTAACAATAGCTAGAGGCCTAGAGGGGAAGTGTTTACACTTCACGGGTAGGGATGGCAATAAAACCCTAATCCACGGATACTCACCCGACCCAATCCGGTAAACGCGGATAAAATCCATGTTGACGGGTTTTGGGTCGGGTTTGAGTTTAAACTCGTTCACTATTCACTGGGTTGGGTTGGGTTTAGGTAAATCCGTCCCATGGGTACCCGCCCACACTCATATAATCAATTTTCTCGGTATATTTAATATTCTAAACAACTAATCTTATTTATGTTTGTGGAGACATGCCTAATTTTTTATTTCTAATTGTGTAGAATGAAGTTGATGTTATCGAGTGGAGAGTGAAGAAACTTAATTGAAAGGAAGAAGCTTTGAATTAATCATGTTATTTATGGATAATTTGTGATTTGCTTAAATTTTCTTGAGTTTTCTAAATTGGTGTTGAACAATTTGTATAGTTAATTTGTGATTTGCTTGAATTTTCTAGAATGGTGTTTTATATATGGATAATTTGTATTAGGAGATTGATATTTGACTTTAATTTTGATAGGAATTTGTTATTGTAAATTTTTTACGACAAAAGCCCGTGGGTACCCATGAACCCGCGGATACCCAGTGGATTGGGTTGGGTTGGGTTTGAGTTTTTCAAACCCAGTGGGTTTTACCCCGAGTTTTTTTCACGAATAAACCCATGGGTTTGGGTTCGGGTTTGGCCCAACCCGACTCATTGCCATCCCTACACCGGTTGTGAGTGGGTGGTTAAACAAAGGTTTGAGATTGATCTGTACTAAGAAAAAAAAAGTTGGTGTTATGAGGTCGTTGCAAGGTTTTTCGGTGCGGTTTGTTGGTCGGCATAGTAATAGGGTAGTCCACTTGGTGCTTAAAAAGACCCTTCATTTGTACCCGGCTGCGAGTCGTTATTTTGATTTTCTTGCCTCGTTAAATTCCAGTGTGTAACTATCTATGTTTCTGATCAATATATCGATTATCTTTTGAAGAAAAAAAAAATATTGAACCATAGTCACCATAGTTTGTTTCAGTTTTTCGGACCGAACCGGAGAACGTACGCAGTTACCCAACAAGTTTGCTCGGCAAAATGTCGAGTGGACATGGACATCGCTAAAGGTTTCGGCTCTTGTACCGGAATAGTGGACGAATGGTGCCAGCCCAATAGCATGAATCATTTCTCATGTCAGGCCCATATCCCACCCGGAGTCTCATCAGTTCGGCCCTTTTCCCTTCTTAAGCCCAACAAGATATCGACCGAAGTACCGAACGGGCAAGAACTTATTCTTCGCACCTCTTTTAACTTTTTTCTTCCAAAAAGAAAATATAACGAAAAAATTTGTCTTCACTTCTCTACAGCACCATAAAGCAAAGAAGAAGAAGAAGAAAAAAGCACGTGCTGAGAGTTGAAGAAAGGATTGGATGAATGAACGTTGTTTTTCCCATCATAAATCCGGAATCTGTCTCTATCCTTAGAAGATTTACGTGTAACCTAAACCACAAGGCTGGACTGGATATGCGCCAAGCAAAAACAAGAAAAAAGAGGTTATGAAGCAATTAGCCGTAAAGTTGCTTCTTATTATGATCATTACGTGATCCGAACGGAAGAGTCGGCCTCCCAATGGAAAAGAAATCGGCAAATTGGTAACCATTGAAACGAAATCTTGTAAGATTGTTCAGTACTCTTTTGTTGATCACGGGAGCTTTGACAGTGATCGGGGACAATTCGTAATCAAATCAAATAAATAGTAAAATCATGTTCATCGTTCTATTTAAAACTGCATTCGAATTGGATACAATTCATTTTTACATAGCTTGTTGGAAAGTACGAACACGAACACCAGTTATAACACAAGTTATTGGTATTACCATTGATTTTCAAGTTGGAAGTCTTATATCGAATCGTTGTAATAGCACCTAATGATAAAAAGTCATCTCTGGCACCGTTTTCATATATATATATATATGAAAACGATCATGTCTAATGGCCTTATTTGGAAACACCAAATGAGGATGCAACAAATCGGACGAGGCAATTGAATTGTATCGTGTTGTATCGTTTTAATTGACAAGAAATTAAATTAGTATAGTAGAATAATGCATTTTTGTGAGACAAAAGCAATTGGTCAAATTCGGTTAGAAATTTTCCATGATTAGCAATGTAGTTAGAGCTGAAAAATGATCTTCTTCCGCCCAGATCGTTTCATATACACTCACACGGCTTATTGTAAAGAAATACAAGGGAAGAAAATTGTCATTAATTTCACAGTTATCACTGACAAAACAAAACTAACATGTATCATCATTAACTAATTGAAAAGAAAGAGCCAGGTGTCGAGAGAGGAGGGCCCGTTTCAGTGGGTTATGTAGTAGAGTCAGCTTAACTCAGCCGGCCACGTGGTGAATCCCCAAGGCCACGCTAGTTCAAATCGTATGGTTTCTTCCCAACTCCGTTCCGCTCCGTTCGTTGTTACGGCATTAATTCCATGCGTGATTAACAGATAGAAGGATGATAAATTCATGATACGAACAAAGGTTTACTCTAGTAGTTCTATTTTAGTTTTTAATATAGACAATACAAATTTTAATGCGTAAGTTGCTGTAGTTGGTAAATGATAATGTCAAAAATCAACTAATCTGAATAATACGATTTGCTTTGAGATCCCGTCACACAATATGCTCAAGTCAACCACTCACTGTTACTTCTTTTAAGTTTTAATATAGTGGTGGCAATTATATTTCCAACGAGTTAGTTGTTAAAGATGTGGGTTTTCTCATGCTATGACACTATTCCACGTGGAATTTTTAACCAAGTTGAGTCACTAGACTCTTGTGGTCAATGGTTTGCATGCCCCCTTTAACTAATTATCAAAGCCTACTACTACATGAGGTTTTGTTGATATCAGGCGCCGTATAAGCTTAACAGCACTGCCTAGCAATCAATCTATGATTCTCCGTCTTAAACTCGATTTCTCGAGTTCGTGAAGAAATCTTGAATTTCAACTTTTCACAAAGTTCCCCAATATGTGCTAGATTGGTTATCTACCCACACAACTCAACAATCTAGATTCAAAAAGTCAATAGATCGACAAATGAATGGTTTATATTAAGGAAGTTGATGAGACTTGAGAGTAGAAATGACAAATGGGTAGATAAGGACGAAGATATATTTTGATACTTATATTAGTTTTACATCAGATCAGATAATTTCCTAATTTATTATGGGCGCAGGTCGGATCAGATTGACTCATATGGATAATGGTTTGTAATTTAAAGCGAAAAAATCATTTGAAATATTCATTTTTTTTTTCTAAGTCTTTTTTCTGATAATTCTCAATCCAAAACTCAAATCAATCCTAATCGATGAACATAAATATTAGGTCATTGAATCCACTATTGGGTACGAGAGGCAAAATTGTGGAACATGTTAGATGAATAGTGACAAACCAATCCAACCAACTCCATTGATTTCCTCTCTTAATACCACAAATCTGCGATCTGCCCCTTTCATTGCTTGCTTGCATCATAGAAGAGAGGGCTCCACTTCTCGCCAATTTGGCAAATTGAAATTCAATTTTAGAGGCTCCTGTCATTATTTATATATATAAAATAAAGGGTAATATAATATGACCAACTAACACCCATAGCTATCCAATAACAACACGAAACTGAGTAGTGTACTAGTTGATATCCATTTATGGTTCCATTAATTACTAATTACTGTTTAATTCCACTCATAATTATAACGCCCACCTTCTTTTACCCGCTTAGGATACAATGACAAGTGTCGGTAAGTCATTGAGTATACTAAGTTTCCATTTGTTGTGTGATAATTTGGTGGATACTATATTTAGTTAGTAAGGCGAGTTATATAGTTTATGCGAAAAAAACAACCCAAATTTGTTAAAATGGATATTTTGTTTTATAAAATGAATGCAACACATGTCAGGTTCCGTACATCTCAAAACGAGACTAAGAGATTCCTCGACAGTCGTTCACGATAAACTCATAAAGTACAGGATTAGAAATTGAAAGAACATGAAACCCCACATGTAAAGAATGAGCGTAGCTGGCTAGATAATCCGCACACTTATTCACATCCCGATAGATGTTTGAATTGGCACTGCCAAATTGAGGGAAGGAAGATCCTATAACTTGTCGATAATGGTTGCATGTTGATGATCCGCCTTCTCCATGCTCTAAAGGAGTTGTACTGCACAAAGAAAGTCGAGCTCCATGCATACTCGGCAATAACCAAAGGTCGCACGCCCACCGAATACCGTCCACAATGTCTCTTATAGTTTTGATCTTTGTATTTTGTTGGTCACAAATCACAATGAACTTGATTCTTTCTATGAATTATTTTCTTTTTTAATTTGAGTTTAAGAGGAGGCAACCAGTGGTAGTGGGTTATATAATCGATCCACAAAATTTTCCTCTAAATGTATTGAAAATTGGTATAATTTTTTTTTCCCGAACATAATGAACTCGTTTCTTCTATTCGGATTTTTGTAAAGTTTGATTTATAACGAAGGAACTACAATTATATTAAAGAAGTAAGTGGCATAAAATCACAACCATCAGATCTGACACGCTTAAAAATTAACAAATCAGATCTACTTTTGATCCTAAATTAGTCAATCGGACGAGTCATGAGTTGTTATTTTTCATTAATATGATCGTATTTTCATTAATGACGTTCTGTTGTCGATCCACAATTATAGTTACCCTTCATCGATGTAACATAGATGTGGCACCGGATCCGGAAGTACCTATGCATCTTCATCTTCAACACACGTACGTTGTCAAACAAAAAAAAATAGGTGTCATATTCGAATTCATGCCATAGTTAACTAATAACCTCCACACTTGCTTGCACCATCACAATTGTTATAAATTAGTTCTTACTTAATTACGGGTTCAAGGACTATTAATAAACAAAACAACACAGAATAACCTGTTAATACTGGCAACACGAGCACTGACAATCATCTTAACCTGTAATTAATGGTGGTCAACAATGCCAGGTTTTGCTTACCTCTTTCTCAAGGATTTCTCAGAAAAGTGCATTAATAAGGGATTAGGGAGAGACTAATCTCTAACATTAATGGCTAACTGTTATATAAATAAAGCTCTGGAAGAGTCCACGTGTCTACAGCTGAAGTAGTGAAACGCCAGCTGTGTCTTGGGGGAAATCATCTATTTCATGAATGTTTATTTTATTTTTCCTGCAATTATTTGGGGAGTGGGCGTTAATTATTCCATTATTGCTTGGGAGGGGCTTATTGTTTAATTAATTTAATAATGTTTTGTAAGTATAGAGATTCGAGGACGATTAGCTGTTAAAAGGATGGGCAGGGGCTAGTGCGTTGCCACCATTGGCGTCGTGGACTCGTGCGGTTCCTTGGGCCTGCACGTGATCTCCCCACGTGACCATCATTCACCCCCCCGAAGTTAATCTCATCCTTTTTTAACCACCCCAAATTTACCCTACTCACTGCCCCGATAATTAGTATGATATTTTCCGTTTTGATCAAAATTACACAATTTATATTTTGAGCATCATTCATTTAAAAAATATCGTACAAGTAGAACTTAATAAACACATATACATTAATAATTTTTCTAATGTTTTCAATTTTATACTTGAATTGCTTCGTAACAAAATCAATTTGATCTCGCATTATTTTCAATAACTCGAATTACAAATATAAAATATCAATAATTTGACATAGGATTCGGATTTCTCGTCACGGTCGCGTGGCCAATGCTATGAACCGCCAATTGGACACCATTTCTTTCTCTCTTGCGTTTACAAGCCGATAACTTAAAGTAATCCATCCGACGATCCGAGTTAAAAGTTAGTACATTTTTTTAAGCCCGACTGGTAATCCCAACTTTGCCCCTGCTCAACCCTAAACTCACTTCAATGCCACAGCCGCTAAACGCCAATGCAACAAACACGCCAACCGCCCTTCTTCTCATCCGTTGACAACCACAAGAAAAAAGAAAGGAAGAGAAGAGAGAGAGAAAAAAAAAAAACAGAAGCACGTGGCCGGGCCTCACGATTGAGGCAGTGGCTATAGTGTAAGAAGGGTAAACAAATGGTATGAGATTGCAAGTTTTCCATCTTCTTCCCCGCACCCAGTTGAGCCAGCCCATCTTCTGTTCCAGGTGACAGCTGATGCAACCCACTGGCCACTACTCCACCCCCAATAGTGGCATTCCCGTAAAATACGGAACGTTGCGGTCCAACACCGGCGGCCCACCACCGCCGCACCGGTTAACTGAATAAACTGACAGGCAGGCCCAATAAGTAAAGATGAACACCATCTCGCTCATTAGTCATTCCTCTCCTCCTGTTTTACTGTTTTACCAATTACCACGAGGTGAAATTGATTTTGACTGAAGAAGCCCAAATAATTGGTGGCCGATTAAATGGGTTATGAATCATAGAGCAACTGAATTCATTTCAACGAGAGTCAGCTCTTATGACATTTATGTGTCTAAGCCATAGTTCAGTTGGCATGACGATTACTCAATTAAAATATAATGTTATTAAGATATACTCGTCCAATTTTGAAAGGAAAATCCGTGATCGTGTTAGATTAGTAGGTCATCAGTTAGCAATATCGGTTGTAGAATCGCGGAGTCTACTAGAAACTAAAATTAGGCATGAATAAAAATCTGACTTGCATAAATATCCAATCATTAGTTACCAAACAAGAAACCCTCTTTGCACTAGGTTGCTTAGATTTTAGGTGATATCACGAGTAAGAGGTATATCACAACTGTTTAAGCGACCGAGATCGCATGAAGTGCGACCCAACGACATCAACTCACATAAAATCCGCAACGCGCCTTCAACATAATAAACTCAACACCCTAGGTTATTGCTACCGGTGTCAGTTCGGTTTTGTTAATCGAATTGAAACTATTTAAAACAGAAAAAATCGATATAAGACTTTTCCTTAAAACTGAAACCAAGCTTGTTAATGGACTTACTGATTTTTATTAGTTAACCGAAATCGAAAAACTATAAGGGGTCGTTTGCTTGATGGATTTGGGTCATGGATTTGGGACTCAAATCCCAAGCATGATGGATTTTAGCCAAGTCCATTGTTTGTTGTTAGGTGTTAAATCCGTGGGGTCCACGGATTTGTTACCTTTTTTGGATCCAAATCCGTGGACCCCACGGACTTGTAAATCCCACATATTGGGGTGGGATTTGTAAATTCTTGATGGCTAGTTATATTTATAGCAAATCCATCATAATTATATCATTAAATCTATCATGCAAACAATAGACTCTTCAAATCCATGATGATACAAATTCCTCATAAATCCAAAGGTTTTTTTGAGCCAAAACTCTCATTTTTCAAATCCAACAAGCAAACGACCCCTAAGCCTTTTAACAGACTCGATCTTCAATTTGAACAAACCGAAAACCAAAACACCTACACCAAAATCGATAAGCTTCAAATCGATTCAGTTTTGTACTAAACCGGAAAGCCCAACCCAATTTCCCCAGCCTAGAAATAAAAGGGCAACCTAGAAATAATGCACAGGGGCAGTACCGCATTTTCGCACAATGGAGAGTGATTGATGTTTTGGCTTTCTCACCGGTGGCAGAAGGAAAGAAAAAAAAGTGATTGGTCAGGGAAAATCTATCTCTTTGATTGGGCAGTGAAGATAGATGGAGAAAGATCTGTCATTCATTGTGCTTCTTCGCCTCTTTGTTTTTTTCTCTCTCTTTTTTCACTTTTGGTTTTGCCGTCCTCCAACCCATTTCCGGCAATACTTGCCGTCCCTTCCGATATCCAAACAGGGATTCTATTCCTTCCCCCTCTCTCACTGCCGCAGCAGCACCCTTTTTTACTTAACCACTGAGTAAAAGACAGAGTGTGCAGTAAAAAAAAACAGCGAGTAAAGAAACATACACGAAACTACAAAAAAAATGGTGGCTATTTGGTAAAACTGAACAGTGATTATCAAGCGCATTAATACTGTTAAAAGAAAATCCCAAATAGGAAAAGGGAAAAGGAAAAGAAGGCTGGTAGATGCTAACGTGAGCGGTGAAGCGCAGTGCGCACCTCACATGGGCCAAAGCGAAACAAAACAGAGGGGGGAAGTTGGGGGATGCTACGTGGCGGAAAATGGTAGGGGGTGCGTACGTTTTGGGTGGGCTTTTTTTTTTTTTTTTTTTTTTTTTTTTTGGCCTTATCATTTGCCATGTCCTCGGTCCATGCCTGTGTCTGTATCACTGTCAGCTTCAGGCTAAGGTGGGGGAGTGATGAGCCCAATTATTATTATTTTTTTAAAATATTATCTCTATAATAATTTTCAATAATCACTCATTATTATTGGCAAATATAGGTTTTTTTGTTTTAAACATGATTATGGATTTTATGAGAATTGAAACTTTTGTTGCCCTTTTACAAATGGGGTTTCTTTTTGATTGAGGATAATTTCCATGGTGATATCGAGATAAATGTTTGTTTGTTCCAACATGTATTGCATATAATTGTATTGTGTACTTCAAAATAATCTTCTAATGATCTCAAACTTTATAGTTTCGAGTTGTTTTCAAAATTGTGAACTATGCTTCATGTAGTGCGGCACTCCGAACCTCAAGAATTTTGAATCCTCTACAGACTATAACTGATGTAGTTTTATCTGATTTCTTGGACTAAGAGGTAGTATTGTATTTTACCGTAACTCGATGTATTTAAGGGACAAATTACATTACTACAATTTCTTACTGTATTCAAAGGAATGAAATTGAGAATAATGAAAAAGATTACAAAGGGAAAGAAGAGCGGGTCGAGGCAAGGGAGCAGAAATATAAGCAGATTTAGGTTTTTGGTTGATGTTAAATGGCGGGATCATAAATGCATACAGATCAAATAAACACGCAAAACTATTTCTCGAGAGTTAATCCACAACTTTATTGTGTTCAAGACAAGTATATGTGATGCGAACTAATCGTGCACAAACTCGCTTTCACTTGATAAAAAAACTAACCCATGACTCTTTTTTTTACCTGACCAAAACTCCATTCCCTTTGAGATATGGTTGTGTGATTCAAATTATCCATCCCTTTACATAATTAATCCCATAACTCTTTTTTTTTTAGGGGAAATCCCATAACTCATTGGTTAACTCAGATTAGTTATAATTACGAATTATATAATAATTATTCCCAATAATCTCTCTCTCTCTCTCTCCTTCAGTCCTTTCCTCTCTTTCTCCTCTGTACTTATTTGTTCTTTTTTCCTTTTTCCTCCTTTCCCCCATTTATTTATTCATTCAATCTCCATTTTTCAGGCAGTACTAATAATTCTCCATCTCTCCCCCTTTGGCTCTTTGCTCTTTAGCCCATTCAGCTCCCACTTATCCTCTTCTTCACCTATCCCACACAGAGAGAGAGAAAGCTTTGACTCGGAATCTCTCCTCTCACCATTCCCCCAAATTTCCTCCTCCGGCGGGATCTCCGCCATGGATCGGAGCCCGAAGCGGCGGAGCATCTCCCCCGACGACGCGACTCGCTTCCCCGACGAGGTCCTCGAGCGGGTCCTGGCCCTGCTCGACTCCCCCAAGGACCGCAGCGCCGTCTCCCTCGTCTGCAGGGACTGGTACAGCGCCGAGAGCTGGTCCCGCCGCCACGTCTTCATCGGGAACTGCTACTCCGTCTCGCCGGAGATCGTCGCCCGCCGGTTCCCGAGGATCCGGAGCGTCACGCTCAAGGGGAAGCCCAGATTCTCCGACTTCAACCTCGTCCCCGACAACTGGGGCGCCGACGTCCACTCCTGGCTCCTCGTCTTCGCCTCCGAGTATCCGTTCCTCGAGGAGCTCAGGCTCAAGAGAATGAGGGTCACCGATGAGAGCTTGGAGTTCCTCGCTCTCAACTTCCCTAATTTCCGAGCCCTATCTCTCCTGAGCTGCGACGGATTCAGCACCGGCGGCCTCGCCTCTGTCGCCACTCATTGCAAGTAAGCCGCCATCGATTCATTTCCACCGGATTTCAATTCCAGATCTGTGCGGTTCTTGTTTCGTTCAATTTCCCGGGAAAATGTCGAGAGGAAACTTTTTTCCTGTTTGACAGCTTGTTTCCCCTCACCGTTTCGCAGTTAATCCTATTTACCCTTCTTTTTCCTGTCCTTCGGATGAAAAATGTTTGGTTTCCTTTTTCCACGATGTGACGTATGGCCTGAATAATGTGCATTAATAATAATGGATCATGGCATGTACTTGATGTCATTCTCTCCATAGATATCTCAAAAATTCTTAAGGAAAACCATTATTGAGCTTATAGTAGTTATAATAGTGCTATCATTCGTCATTATGGGTTAATACATGTGAAATAATTACAGTTCATCATAATTGGGTTTCCTGCCAATACGATCCTCCTGCTGCTACTCTGGTTGTCCTATGGATAAAAATACCAGCTTGGTCACCTGTTCATCAGACATCGAACTTGGTATGGAGACAACTAAAAAACCAGATTCAGAGTATGATGTAGAGAGATGGGAATATTAATGATGAACTATTAGGGGCGGATTCGATGTTTTAGTTGTCTTAGTACTGAGTTTTAGAATCCAATGTGATCCAACCGGGTTTAATCAATCATGATTGCGAATCAAATTTCAATGTGCTGAGATGGGTGTGTCGCTTTTGCTTTTGTCAGGAATCTGACTGAGCTGGATATACAAGAGAACGGGATAGATGACTTTGGCGGGGAATGGCTGAGCTGCTTTCCTGACAACTTCAACACATTGGAAGTCCTGAACTTCTCCCACCTGAACACCGATGTGAACCCTGATGTGCTGGAGAGGCTCGTGAGCAGGTGTAGATCCCTGAAGGTTCTGAAAGTCAACCGGAGCATTTCATTGGATTGCCTGCAGAGGTTGCTCGTTTCTGCTCCGCAGTTGACTGAGTTGGGCGCTGGCTCTTTCTCTCAAGAGCTCACTCCGAGGCAGCATGCGGATCTCGAGCATGCCTTTGGCCTGTGCAAGAATCTGAGTGTGCTTACTGGGTTGTGGGAAGCGACGGCGATGAATCTCTCGGCTGTTTACCCAGCTTGTTCGAGGCTGAGCTTTTTGAACCTGAGCTATACTGCTTTGCAGAGTCAGGAGCTTGCTAGTCTTCTTCCTCACTGCCCTTGTCTTCGTCGTCTCTGGGTGAGTACTATCAAAGACCATCCTTGGTCTCTCATCGTTGAGCATAAACCATTGCATTTGACCAGGGCTTGTTTTGATGTTGCTCAAACATTGCATTTCACACATTTGTCATAGCGCATCATTAATTCCCTGTTCTTATTGAACGTCTAATGGTCCATTTCTCCTATATCTTAATTCATAGTTCGTCTGGAGCATTATTCCCTGTTCTTATTGAAACTAAAAAGTAATGCGGTTGACTTTCCTACTCAGGTCCTGGACTCTGTGGGAGACAAAGGCCTTGAAGCCGTGGGAGCGAACTGCCCATCACTGGAAGAAATCCGCGTCTTCCCCGCCGACCCTTTTGACGAGGACATGATCAACGCAGTCACCGAATCAGGCATCGTCGCAGTCTCCCAGGGCTGCCCCAAGCTCCATTACATCCTCTACTTCTGCCGCCAGATGACAAACGCCGCGGTGGCCACCGTGGTCCGCAACTGCCCGGACTTCACCCATTTCCGCCTCTGCATCATGAATCCAGGCCAGCCCGACCACACCACCAATCAACCTATGGACGAGGCCTTCGGTTCCGTCGTGAAAACGTGCAAGAAGCTCCAGCGGCTCTCTGTATCCGGTCTCCTCACCGATCTCACGTTCAAGTACATCGGCAAGTACGCGAAGAATATGGAGACGTTGTCAGTGGCCTTTGCTGGAAGCAGTGATCTTGGGATGCAGTATGTCATGGAGGGATGTTCGAAGCTGAGAAAGCTGGAGATCAGGGACTGCCCGTTTGGGAATGCGGCGTTGCTTTCCGGTTTGGAGAAGTACGAGTCGATGAGGTCGCTTTGGATGTCGGCTTGCAACGTGACGATGAATGGGTGTAGGGTTCTGGCCAGAGAGATGCCGAGATTGAACGTGGAAGTGATGAAGGAGGAAGGGAGCGATGATTGCAAGGCGGATAAGGTCTATGTTTACCGGACGGTCGCTGGTCCAAGACGAGATGCTCCTCCTTCTGTCCTCACCGTCTCCAGTCTATGACAATTTCATCAGTCAGTACTCCTCATCTTTCTTCTTCTTCTTTCTTTCTTGAAATGCCTCTACTTCCTCTCTTCTCCGTTAATCCTATGATGATTAGTTTGCTAATAAAAACTAGTCGATTTGTGAAAACAGAGTGATGATGCTTCACCGAGCAATGGTTCGCGAAAGGAAGTTAAAACAGCACGCAGCAATGTTCGCTGAAATCTGTCTATATGCTGCTTGGAGGCTGCAATACTATGCAAAAGTTATGAACAATACAAAACCAGCTCATCCCGCAAGCAACCCTGCCATTGCCAAGCCATTCGTGAAATCCAGAAGAAGAGAAGCCACCCAGACTCGGCATAATAGCATATCATCTCATCATAAACACGGGCCGACGATGATCAAGCCAGCCACGATCCCATTGCAGCTTAAGATCATCACCATCATCGTGTGAGTGTCACCAAGTACAGGCCTTGGCTACCATAAATTGCAGTTGGAGAATGATGGGAATTTGGAGGAAGGAGATAATGCAAACACAGAACCAGACAAAGGCTACGTGGTTTCTGGTGGGAAGCCGCGTTTGGTTGGCTAGATTATGGGTGCTGGCTGAGGGGAAAGATGGCTGCAATGTTGGGTCCGAAGCTGCTGGCGAAGAATGAACCACGAAATGGCGGATAAGGTGGAGATGACAAGTATCGTTCTCTCTCTCTCTCTCTCTCTCTCTCTCTCTCTCAAAAGACAAACTCTGCTTCGCTTTTTGTTATGCATTATTTTGCTTTCATGTCTTATCTTTTTGCCGGATTGGACTTGAGCAGGCATATGCCTTTTTAAGTTTTTTTTTTTCCTCCCTTCTTCTCGCCTATTGAAATCTGGAGGGGTTAATTTCGGTTTTCATTCTTGTTTGGACATTGTGTGGCCGGCCATGTGGAGTTGGTAACCTGTCCATTATTATGGTATTGGTCTCTCATGACGTGTAGTATGGAGCTTTTTCTTTTCAAGTGGGCATTAATAAGATGTTTAGAACTTGGAATTCGTTTCTAACCAACCATGATTAATAACAATATATTTTACTAGAAAGGCTCAAGGAACGGGGCGAGTATTTTATCTAAACCCAACATTGATCATTACTCAAAAGCCCAAATCGGAGGAAAATCCTTCCCAATGTATAACCAGTAACTTTTGATATGTCATTTCAATATTAAATCGTATTTTTCGTTAGTTTGACCCATATGTTTAAATGGGAGACCGGTCAAAGTCTTATCAGTGTCTAATCGGATCCTACCTGACTCGTTGATGTGTCACTCACAATTTTATTCATTTAAGTTTACTTGAACAACCATCAAGCTCGTGCTCAGGCTCGAGTCACTCTTTATTGTATGGATTGGACACCAATGCACCCTTCGGTACGGTTGTGTCCAAGTCTTCGAAGCATAACTAGAAATTTTGGGCTACAATTAAAGGACTTCACTTCCAATTTTTCCACGTAGTTAGGACAACAAGTTTATAGTGGAAAAATGAGTTCTTTAATACTATTCAACGACGAGAAGTCGATTTGGACAAATCACTATGTATTCTGCCATCGCGATGATTTCCTCTTGTTCTTCTTCTTCGTTTGTTTCTCATCCCTCGTGAACTAATCTCCTTTGTTGTTTCGATGAGACGACCTTGTCAATCTAATTTTGGATTGGTTGAGTGCAATATACACCTATAGACCCTCATACATGGTTTTGTTAGTGGCCATGCCCGAGCCCCTGAGGTTGAATATAAATAGGAAAATTTGTCTACTTAAAGGACTTTTATTCCTCTTTCGTACAAAGATCTACGAGTTCGGAGTAAAATGAAAGATTTTTTCCCAATTATTCGACCATTGAAGTCGATTGGATGAATCAAGATGTTATTTTTGCCATTTCAACTATTTCTTCCTCGTTAATTTCCCCCTCCCTCTTGAAGTTGAACTAATATCCTTTGTTGTTTGTGAGAGATGTTTGTTTTCCTTTCAAAATTTTATCAATTTTATCGTTCGAGTATCGATAGTTGAGCGTTCACTAAGTACTTGTTTATTTCGTGTGAATATTGATGATGGTATCCCCAATGGATGATTAAACACATAGACATGGAAGAGACTGATAAGGTTGCCATAACATAAAACCATGTACGACCTTCGAAGAGGCCAAGAGGGTGAAGCAAAACATGTTGATTAGGCATAGAAGAGGCTAAGAACATCGAGTCAAAACTAATGGATAATAGTGTTTTAATACACGAGAATATCAAGTGAAGACTAATTTGAGAATTTCTACGATCAAGGAAAGAACATAGAATCCTATAATGTGTCTAGTTAATACATGCGAACTAGCTAGTGGGATTCGAGTTATGCACAACACATTCTCCTACTTGAACTTCTCTCATGAAATTGCGCTTGACCCCCTTGATTTTCTTAGTAGTAATTTAGTTTAGTTCAAACCACTTGGTTGAACCAGCTAGGTAATACAAGACAAGCTATATACTAGTATTCAAAATCGTCGGGGGGTACAATCTTGCTTTCTCTGTATGGCATTTAAAACGCTATTTCAACTTGCCTTACTTTAGTCGCACTAGAAAGTTATCATTTTAACTAAGAGATAAGACATAAACTCAGAAACAAGGTTAGGAATATTACGCCAAATATCTGAAATATGATTTGGCGAGCGAACAAATTACCTAATTTGCATGTGAGATAAAAGAAACACAAACGATTCAATCTACGTATTATGCGTATGTCATTGACTTATCGTACCGATCCAGCCCACACCATACCACGTTCTGAAAGGTGGATAGAATAACAGAGTTGAAACGATGATTTAATAATATATGAAAACAGTATAGATAGTACCATATTCTTGAACTAGTTTAAAATCTGTCAATAAAAATCTTGCTCCAACTTCAATCGCGATAATATCAATAAATTGTACATTCATCACTATTATTAACGACCACAACACCATAGCCCGTCACTTAGAAGTTAGAACTCCATTATAGGTTACAACTATTCCTAATAACCAATCTCCCTTCAAGTCTTCTTCCTTTCTTCTTTGTCATCATTTGTTCTTTTTTCCTTCCCCCCTTTGGCCCTTTCCCTTCCTCCCATTTCTTTATCTATTCATCCAATCTCCATTTTTTGGGCAGTACCAATAATTCTCCATTGTTTTTGCTCTTTTGCCCATCCACCTCCCACTTATCCTCTTCACCTACAGAAAGACAGATAGAGATTTCACTAAGAACAAAGAGAGAGAAAGCTTTGACTCCAAATCGGAGCATTTCCCATCTTCTCCCCCGGCGGGGATCTCTGCCATGGATCTGAGCCCGAAGCAGAGCAGCCCGTCGGAGTCGACTCGCTTCCCCGACGAGGTCCTCGAGCGAGTCCTTGCCCTGCTCACGTCTCCCAAGGACCGGAACGCCGTTTCCCTGGTCTGCAAGGACTGGTACACCGCCGATAGCTGGTCCCGCCGCCATGTCTTCATCGGGAACTGCTACTCCGTCTCGCCGGAGATCGTCGCCCGCCGGTTCCCGAGGATCCGGAGCGTCACGCTCAAGGGGAAGCCGCGGTTCTCCGACTTCAATCTCGTTCCTGATAACTGGGGCGCCGACGTCCACTCCTGGCTCCTGGTATTCGCCTCTGGGTGTCCGTTCCTCGAGGAGCTGAGGCTGAAGAGAATGAGGGTCACCGATGAGAGCTTGGAGTTCTTGGCGCTCAACTTTCCTAATTTCAGAGCTCTATCCCTCCTGAGCTGCGATGGGTTCAGCACCAGCGGACTCGCCACTGTCGCTACTCATTGCAAGTAAGCCACTGTCGATTTCAATGATTGCCCTTTCGCTTCCAGATCTGAGCTCTGCTTCATTAATTGCGATTCCAGATCTGATCTGCTTCATTAGTTTATTAGGTGGACTTGATATTGTAGTCATCTTAGTAAACTGAGTTCAGTACTTCAGTACCCAAATGTGATGCATCCTTGATCTATGGATCATTGATTGTGAATCAAATTTCAATTTGCTGAGATGGGTTGTTGCTATTGCTTTTGTTTTACTTAGGAATCTGACTGAGCTTGATATACAAGAGAACGGGATAGAGGACTTGAGTGGGGATTGGCTGAGCTGCTTTCCTGAGAACTTTAACACATTGGAAGTTTTAAACTTCTCCAACCTGATCACCGATGTGAACCCTGGCGTACTCGAGAGGCTTGTGAGCAGGTGTAGATCGTTGAAGGTTTTGAAACTGAATAGAACTAGCTCCTTGGATCGCCTACAGCGGTTGCTCGTTTCTGCACCTCAATTGACTGAACTGGGCGCCGGTTCTTTCTCTGAAGAGCTCACGCTGCAGCAGCATGCGGAGCTCAAATATGCTTTCGGTCTCTGCAAAAATTTGAGTGTGCTATCTGGATTTTGGGATGCGTCGGCACTTAATCTATCAGCTGTTTACCCTGCTTGCTCGCGGCTGAGTTTTCTAAACATGAGCTATACCGCTTTGCAGAGTCCGGAACTTGCAAGTCTTCTTCCTCACTGTCCTTGTCTTCGCCGCCTCTGGGTGAGTACGATGAAAGACCCTTTGATCGCCTGGTCTCTCACATTTGTTTTTCTGTGGGCATAGAACATTGCATTTCACTAGGGTCTGTTTCGTAAAGCAGGGATCATTCCCTTGATGTTGCTAAACCATTTTGATAGCAAACGAGTATGCAGATAAGATATAACATGTCATTTTACCATGGTTGGTTTGGTCACCAGGGATCGTTCCTGATCCTGTTCTCTGCATTTGGTTTGGTAATGCAGAATTGTATCTCTAGGCTTCTTGTTTTACTACACAATCTTATATCTGGATGTTCATTCCCCGATCTTATTGAACTAACAGTTATTTGTTTGACTTCTAATTAAGGTACTGGATTCAGTGGGAGACAAAGGCCTTGAAGCCGTGGGAGCCAACTGCCCATCACTTGAAGAAATCCGTGTCTTCCCCACCGACCCTTTCGACGAGGACATGCTCCACACAGTTACCGAATCAGGCATCGTTGCAGTCTCCCAGGGCTGCCCCAAACTCCATTACATCCTCTACTTCTGCCGCCAGATGACAAACGCTGCAGTGGCCACTGTGGTTCGCAACTGCCCAGACTTCACCCATTTCCGCCTCTGCATCATGAACCCAGGCCAACCGGACCACACCACCAACCAACCCATGGATGAGGCCTTCGGTGCCGTAGTAAAAGCATGCAAGAAGCTCAAGCGACTCTCCATCTCCGGTCTTCTCACGGATCTCACGTTCAAGTACATAGGCGAGTACGCCAAGAATTTGGAGGCCTTATCTGTGGCCTTTGCTGGAAGCAGTGATCTGGGGATGCAGTATGTTATGGAGGGCTGTTCGAAGCTGAAGAAGTTGGAGATTAGGGACTGTCCGTTCGGGAATGTGGCGTTGCTTTCCGGTTTGGAGAGGTACGAGTCAATGAGGTCGCTTTGGATGTCGGCTTGTAATGTGACGATTGATGGGTGTAGGTCTTTGGCCAGAGAGATGCCGAGGTTGAATGTTGAAGTGATGAAGGAAGAAGGGAGTGATGATTGTAAGGCAGATAAGGTTTATGTTTATCGAACCGTTGCTGGGCCAAGACGAGATGCTCCTCCTTCTGTGCTCACCTTCTCCGGTCTTTGAAAATTATCAGTGAGTAACTCTCATCTTCTTCTACCCTCTTAAAAAAATGCATGCTCTCTCTCAGCTTCCTTAATCCACTGTTGATTATTTAGCTTATAAAGACTTGTAAATTTTTGATTTGTGTAAAAACAGAGTGACGATGCTTCAACAAGCTTTGTTCCGAGGAATGGTTTGGAAAGGAAGAGAAGATAGCATGTACCAAGTATTTGCTTAATCTTGTCAATTTGCTGGGAGGCTGCAACTCCATGAAGTCATGAAGCTACCTACTAGCTACTAGAAAGGGCTGAAATCCACAGCACTCATGCCATTCGAGGAGCTTCTTGTAAACTCTCCGAGTAGTGAAATCCAGAAGAAGAGAAGAAACACACAGTTGGCATCCGAGCACATCATCTCATCCATCATTAACATGGGTCGACGATGATCAAGCTAGCCGCGAACCCATTGCAGGTTAAGATAAAAGAAGACCCACCACCACCACCACCACTATCATCATCATGTGTGAGTGTCACCACAACGCAGGCCATGGCTACCATTAACTGCTTGCAGCCAAAGTTGATGGAAATTTGGAGAAAGGAGATAATGCAACAGAGACCAGACAAAGGCTACTTCTTCCATGGTTTCTGGTGGTGAGCCATTTAGTTTAGGGGGTTGGCTAGCGGAGATGATGGCTGCTCTGTTGGTCCAAAGTTGTTGGCCAAGAGTGAACACCACGAAATGGCGGGAATGGTGGAGATGTCAACTGTCGTCCTCTCTCTTCTTTCTTTTTTGGTTTTTTTGTTGAAAGAACCCTGCTTCTCATTTTGTTGTGCATTATTGGTTTTCAATTTTCATGTCTGTCCATCTTTTTGCCGGATTGGACTTGAACAGGCATATATGGCTTTTTAAGGGGTCGTTTGGCAAGCTGTTTTCCATTAGTATACACGATTTTCAGGACATCATGTATTTTTGTAATTGGGATTTGTAAGAATTCGTGTAATGTTAGAACATAGCGTCCGGTTCCGTTAGCAAGATCTTAAGATGTAGGCAGCTGAATTCTTCAATACTATTGGTGAATCCAAAGTATATCACAATCTATGTTATGATGTAATGTGCATTTACAAGACGCAGAAAAGAACAATGTAATGATTTTCTGAAATAATGTATTCTGGAAATCAGGAGTTGAATACATGATTAGAACTTGGAACCCTTTTTCTAAGCATGCATGCTTAATACTCAGTATCTTTGACGAAGTCAAGGCTAAATGATATATATAGGTAATAAGGTGTGTTCACTTCGAAAAACGATCGAGCCCAGAAATCCCAAATCCAAAAAATTTCAGTTCAAAACCAATTTAGGACCCTGTGAGATCCATGAAATATTGGTCAAGCTTTCATTTGGAAGACATTCAAGTTCTTTCAGATTTAGCATGTTTAGGGAGAATGGGAGATACGTAGATGAGCTTTTCCGTATGTGGGCTTTGTGTACATGGGCCTTGTGAACTGCTTGACCTCGTGTAGGAGAGAGAGGGGGGCTTAAGAAAGCCTACCACGAATTACTGGGCCGGGCTTCACCGTTCGGCAATTTGGGCTGCACTCTTTTTCTTTTGTTTGCTTCGTCTTCGAATGCAAATCCTCTCTCTGTTATTAGGCTACGCGCCAGGAACAGAAGAACAAACAGGTAACAGACAGACAGACAGGCGAAGAAGACGAAGAAGGAGGAGGTTGAGAAGAGAAGCTTTTTGGTAACTTTATTAACAGCGCCTTGATAATGGCGTCAACGCACAGTCACTTTCTCGCATTTCTTTCTCTGGCCTGCTCTGACTGTTTCAGTCGTGGATGACTGACTAACTGACACTCTTCTATGGCGTCTTCCAAAGCACACACCGTTATGACCATTTTGGCCAACAATTGAGAGAGAGAGAGGACCCAAGATTTTACCACATTAGATTGCAATTTGCAAGTGTGACCACCCACATATTGATCCAATCTAAAATCGGTTCAACAATAAGAAAATTTATTGTAGGCTGAGTTAGTAATTCCTATGATCGGGTGAGTTTGTATGCTAGGCTGAGATTTAAAAAAAAGTCCCTTTGCAATTTCTCTATACTACTCGGGAATTCGAAAATAGGAAACTCGGTCGATTCATGTCAGAGTACATGATTAAAATGTAAATTTTGATGTATTTGGTTATGTTCTTGTAATTTGTAATTTGGGGTGTTAGACCATCTCCAACAACGAAATGTCAAAATGCTAGAATGCCAAAATTATTTGGCATTTTGGCACTCAAAAAGTGGTTTTTGCTCCAACAAGCAAAGTCAAAATGCTAGAATGTCAAATCTTGTCATTTTGTGATAATCTAGCTTAGTGTAGATTTCATCACTTTAATTAGATATTTTATAGATTATTTGTATATAGGTAGAGATAATTAATTAATATGAATGTTTCGATATTTTTTTTAATTTTGACATAAAAAAATTTATTGTTAAATATGATGTTTATAGAGAAATCCGTGAAAAAGAACTATTAGGGGCTAATAGAGCCGTTGGTAATTATTTGAGTGACTGAAATAGATTTTTTTCTTCTTCTTTTTCAATTTCCAACGATTATAAAGGTGGAAAAGTGTGGGGCCAGCTCCCAGTCCACATTTAGCTTTCTTTGTCTTTTTCCAATGGGTTTTTGGCTGAAATTTTTGGCTTTTTAGCTTTTTCCAATTGCCATTGGAGGAAGTATTTTAGGATTTTTGGCTTTTAAGGTTAGTTGTTGGAGATGGTCTTAGGTGATAGTTTATCAAGTTGTATATCAGTAGCTCTAAACCACAACAGTCCGGCTTCAATTTTTCTCCTCTAATGCAATTTTCTTCTTTCGCATTTCACAATTCCTAATTTTGACTCTGACATGGTGTTGATGATGATGAACCACACAAATCTATGTGTTCTTATATTTTTCTTGCTTTGTTTATTGTCCATTCAGTCGTAACAGTAGTTGTATATGTGCATGTTATCTATCTTCTGAGGTTTGAACGAAGTCCCCCTCTCGTATGGTAAGTCACATTTGAACAAAGTATAATAAGGGCATTTTAGTTATTTTGCTATGTCTAGATACATCAGGAATTTGGGTTGGAGCCGATATAGTTTAACTCTAGTCGTTCAACAAGAATTATGGAAGAATATAAATCAATCCTCAAACTACCTGTACATATTCCGCTTTTTTTTCTTCCTCTTCTTATCGTCGTATGTTCTCTTCGCACATTCTATATCTCTAATTATATCCAATCTCTCTAAATCCATACGTTCGTACCAATTGATCTGGGGGCATCAATTATCCATCGACATAACAAAATGCTCCATCATCGTGAAATCGAACTCATATCGTCACTTTTTGATCGGTTGACTCGAACCATCACTCAGAAAGGGTTAGTAAATCTTGCACATCATATGTTTTCTACATGATGTAGGATGATGAGAGGTTGAAAGTAGGATAATAATCACATAAGAAGAAGTTAATGATGAGATACGCCGGAAGGAAGGTTGTTAATTGCGACATCCAATCATTTTCCTTCACGATACTCACTCTTCTTCTACTCGGTTTGGTTTGGTGGTATGTCTCATTCTCATGGGGAGCACAAGGAAAAGGGCTTATACCTACCGTATCAACTCACTCACAAATTATATTAACAAAAAAACTCCAGTCTTAATCATACCCCAACGATCTTGTTTATGTGAAATAATTAATTGCTTTTTTATAAGTTATAGGAGTCCTTTGGCTAATGGTTTGTGTCGATGTATTGGTTTCATGGCTTAAGCAATAATAGTTAATAGGAACAACATGAAATAATGTTGAACCTTATATGACTACCAAGAGTAGTTTAGGCGTTTTACAATTATTCCGCTGATCTATCGCTTACTATTCAGTTGAATACAAGAATAAAACTTTAAATTATGACAAATTTTTACAATTGATCATTCGCTTCGAGAATTTAAATATTTCACAAGCTACATATTCTTAATATACAGTCGTTTCAGTCCCTCTAAAAAGTATTTTTAGATGATTGAGAAGAAACCAATGCCTAACTCCTGCATAAGATTCGGTAGGTTTGCAAAAATCTGAAGTGATTTTTGGTCTTATCACACTCTTAATAACCCTGATTAATGTCAATAAGTCATTTATATATAAGTCGCGAGGAGTCTCAGAAGACGTGCGGGGAAAAAGATACAAGATCTTGTTTGGATTTTTGAGCTAACTTAGGCATAATGGTTAAGTAATGGAGATCATGACAAAAATCCATCTCGCAAACCACATCATTTCCATAACCAAGAGGGATCGCTTGTTAAAAACACAGTTTAGATAGCATACATAGGCCTTACTATTTTTAGTCCTAACTAATTGACTTCATTTTATTGGATCTCAAAATCTTATACCTCAATCATGGAGCTTTCCATTTCTCTGTACATGCCATTGTCTTCAAAGCCAAGACACATACAAATTTTTTTGCAATGAACATAACCTATAACTTAGATAGATATGGTTTCCTATACAAATTCCCCCCCTTTTCTTCACCACTACTCAAGCTCCATTGTCTTCTTCTTCTCCCCCAATTGTGAAAACTATCACTTTCTTGCCTTTGCATACAAATCATGCCGACCACTTTCCATATTTTGTGACACACTTTGCACCTAACACTAGGTGGTGCATTAAAAGCCAACCAATATGCTAGTAATTGTGTATGGATTGTAGCCTACACAACAACCCCCATATCTATGGTGTAAACAAACATATAATCGGCTACATAACTTCCCAACCAACGGCACAATTCTTATAAAATGATCCTAAACTCAACGACTCCAATTGGTTGGAATATAGATTACTAGACTAGTCATGCATCATGGTGAATTGGTGGAGTAGATGAGCCACCTCATCAACATGGGCAAAGCGTCGGTCGCTGGAGCTGAGTCGTTATTCATGAAAAAATACCTAGGATCGAGTCGCGCTCGATTCATCTCATAATTTTAAGTTGACTGTAGTGTGGTAAGGTTATTCCACGAATGAATTTTTCAACTGGCGTACTCCACTGTATATCAACATGGATGCTGGCCCACAGTTCTATCTCGACTGTTGGTTGTATGGTTTTTGGTGTGTGAGCTTATATATGTTTGTCATACTCAACTACATTAGGCCATGATTATGCGATAGGCCATACATGTTTATTTTTTGGATCGTTTATCAGCTATTATGACGTTGCCGATTTTCTTTGATTTGAGGAGAATGAAATCTTTGTGTTCTTTTCACATAAAAGGGAAACACGAAAACATAATGCCCACTCTCTCGGTTTTTTGTTGTATACTTCGTGATGTGTGAGCTTGAAACGTCTTGTCATGTCTATAGAAAATCAATTTGTTACAGGTTACATTATCAAGTTAGGAAATTGTTATTATGACATATCCAGTTTTATTCTATCTATCGGGAACAAAATCTTTACATTTCAACATAAAAATAAAACGTGAAAATACTGAAACTAAGATCAGGGCGAAATTTTAAAGATTAACTCTGTCAACCATACTCGTTGGTTTGAATTTGATAATTGGTTGTCACCATTGACTTCACTATCCTTTCTTAGGATTCAAATGACAATTTGTAATGTTCAAAATCCCAATTCAGATCATACATATTTGCTGCAAATGATTAACCAAGATTAACATGGAGAAAAATAAACTAATTTTTTAAGCCGGGGTTCCTCACGTGTCGATTCAGCCAAGATCATGTCTCATGATTAATCATTTCGAAAAGAGAACTTAAATCAAATCAACCCAAAACTAAGTGTGCTTAGTTGGAGCCATAAAGTAATAACAAAGTATGCCCGTGACAAAAAGAAACCAAGGGTGTCAATGCATTTTATTTAGAAAGCAAATTGACACCTACTCATGTCATCATGGGCAATATATTTGTCATCTCGTAGGGCTTAGGCATACAACCAAAGTGAAGTTAAGTCTTAGTGGATTACCCCAAAAAAATACACTTTTCTATAATAATAAAAGTTCTCTAATTAACTAAAAGTTTAAGAAATTTTCCAATCCTACCCCTTTTTGACAATCTAGTATGATTCATTCAGCGAGCTGACGAGATCGCGGTCGCATTTATCGATATTGATCATCCAGTAACAATACTTCTGCTTTTAAACAACGATAACAATATTTTCCATCTTCTTCTATCCCAGATTACCAAAGATATTCTTGAAATTAGTTATGTATACCATGACATAATAAACGACACCAAAGGTTTGGTGGATGTTACTTGTTTTTAGATTATCACGAAACTAATATGTTGATGTGACTTGAATCAGACTATCGGCTATGACTGGATGTCAAGGTGGTCACCGTGTATGTGCCGATACACGTTTGGGTTGCCGTTCTGGGCCTCGTTGTAACTACTTTTCCTTAATCACATCGGATTAGGGTTACACCACATGAAGAAGTACTATAAATACTTCATAATCTGTATCTCCTCGAAGTATATTGAAACCGATTCTCTCCTGCCCGTGAACTAGCTAACACACGTTGTGTTAGTGAACCACGTAAATCCATGTACCGTGTTCGTTCTTGTTTTTACATTCTTACTTTATCGTTTTTTCCCCCTCCCCAATCCACAGAACAAGAGTCGCGTGACACAATCCGTTAGATTTATCGTGTTAACGTGCCTTAGATATCCTCTTTCTTCTCTACTCCACTAGAAGATGGTTAGTGGAAAGGTGACTGCCTGTTATCTTGTTAAGGGCATCGCATTCCCTCCCAAAGGTCCCCTTTTTTCCCTTCACATGGTGGGGAGTGTAGGGTTTTTTCTTTTGATTCTCCCATCATCTCCCTTTCTCACTTCACAGAAAGCTACTCTTTTTGCTATTTTTTTCCTGCCTTTTATGTTACGCCCAAATCCGAAGAATATGTTCTTCTCGATCTTTAACCATATTTGGTCCATTCCAGTTGGCTTTATAATGCAGCCACGAACTGCTTCACCAAAGGCCTCCCTTCGTTAGGTCAATTCAATTCTTCTTCAAGGTCTTGCCGAGCTGCATATCGAACTTTGGCTTCCCACAACCTTAAGGCAAATGCATACTAGGGTTGCTTTGCATGCATTAAACTCAGAATCCTGCTCTTTGAAAGGTTCGTACAAAAACATTTTAGAGACCTTTTGTTGCTCAAAACTAACAAAGTTCAGTCGAATTATATTGATGCAAGTTAAGTGAAGATGCATTGGTTGGTTAATCAGTCAAACAAATTAACAAACCCCAATTAATCTGGTTACAATGTACTTAGTTTCGATTTTTTTTTTTTACATAAACAATATAGTTGTAATGTTAAATTTGATTAATCCTACCAAATGCCTTTTATTTTCATAGATAAAAAAATCAATTCAAGTTAGTAAAAAATGACACATCAGATAAAATCATTACAATAAATCAAACAACTGCCACAAATTAAGAGAGTTGCTACCACACAAACAGTCAAATTAGCAAGAAAGAGAATCATCAAAAGGGACAATTACATAAATTTAGCGAATAATACTCCGACAAGTGAAGATCGACCTCCATTGGAATTCGATCGGGCCGAATCCTATGTTACTAAAAAGATCTTATCGAAATCTACTACACCTACATCGTGATGCAACTGCTTGCAATGAGAAAAGATCGGATCAAAATCTATCAAATGTTTTCCCACACGATTGGTGTATTGCGTATTGTTTAATATTAGACTTGAAAACATACTATATGAACTAATTAATCTCTCAATTAAGTTGTATAATCTGAAAAATCCTTTCATTTATCGAAAAACAATCTTAATACCTTAAAAAATCAGAGGGCCCCCAAATGGCAAAAAAGCGAGGCACTTTTTCACTTTTTATTTGTTTTTTCCCGCTAATTATTATATTGTTAACCACGGTTCTGTCCACTCCCTCGAGATTTTTAATTTTTTTGATAATCCCCCTCGAGATTAGATTACTCCCGCCATGGAAGTTTAATATTAATTACAATATATTTGCGCCAATTATAACAAAATTAAACCTCGGCGGACGCAACCCTTAACCCAAAACGGACTTCCGCCTAAAAGCCAAACACTTTCTCTCCACTTGCGAAAAGACCAAACTACCCCTTTCCCCGCCAGTTTCTTTTCCTTCCTCTGCTCTCTCCATTCATAACTCTCTCCTGCAGAGTAAAGAAGAAACAAGAAGATAAAAAGCTCTCTGCCCAACAACAATGGCGGCAACCACACAGTACAGCTAATCATATCCTGAATTCTCCACACTTCCCTTTCCATTCTCCTTCGATTCCATTTTTCCATGGCCGGTTCGTTGACAAAGATTCACTAGATGGGTCGAGTAGTCTCACAAGAATCGGAGTCTCCATCGTCGCCGTCGCCATCGACGGCGTCGTCTTACAGTCCCAGGCAAGCCATCGATGTCCTCTCTTCTTTGGTCTCTTTTTCCCACTCGGTCAAGGTTTTCGCGGTGAAATGGCAGACGATAAGGCACAAGCTCGACGAGCTCACGGCGAGCTTGGTCGCCATCGAGAGCTGCGATTCCGAGCAGAACCCGATCTTATCAGCCATACTCTCCGGCATCATGGTATGCGCCGGCGATTGCTACGACCTCGCCAGGAGGTGCGTCGACGTGTCCTACAGCGGGAAGCTGCTGATGCAGAGCGATTTGGACGTTCTGGCGGCGAGATTCGACCGCCATTTGGGGAATCTGTCCGGCGTCTGCACCGCCGGAGTTCTTTCCCACGGAGGGTTCGCCATCGTCGTCTCCCGACCCGGCCCGAGCGCTTGCCGCGACGACATAAGGTTCTACGTTAGGGATTTGCTCACCAGGTTGAAAATCGGCGACGGCGAGATGAAGAAACAGGCTCTGGTGAATCTGAGCTCGGCGGTGGACGAAGACGAGAGGTACGGGAGAGTGGTTGTGGAATTGGGGGAAATCGTACCCATCTTGGTCAATCTCCTCGACTCGCCGGAGATCGAGATTCGAGATGAATCGGCGAGATTGGTGTGCTCAATCTCGAATTTCGATCCACACAAGCCGATCTTGATCGGCGCCGGAGTAATCGCCCCTCTGATTCGCGTCCTGGAGACCGGCAGCGAGTCGGGTAAAATTATGTCCACCGGGTGTTTGATAAAATTAACACAGAATTCCGACAACGCATGGTCGGTCTCCGCTCACGGCGGCGTCACATCTCTACTCAAACTCATCTCCGCCGCCGATTCCTCGCCGGATATCATCTCCCCAGCCTCCGCCGTCTTGAAAAACCTCCTCCCCGTGGAAGAAATCAAGCGGTTCATGATCGAAGAAGGAGCCATCTCCACCTTCATCAAGCTCTCCAGATCTCCCCACGAAGCCGTACAAATCACCGCCGTCGAGTTCCTCCAGAACATCGCTTCAGGGGAAGAACCGGTGAACCAATCGGTTCGAGCCATGATCCGAATTCTCGACCCGAATTCTGCTTCTTCTTCCTCTACCAAATCTCGAGAGACCGCATTGAGAGCAATCGAGAATCTCTGTTTCCAATCTCGAAACTGCATTTCCCAGCTAACCACCTTCGGATTCCTCGACCCATTGCTCTACTTCCTCCGAAACGGCGAATTCTCGCTGAAAGAACTGTCCTTGAAAGTCGCCTGCCGCCTCGCCGGGACCTCCGACGAGGCCAGAAAAGTAATGGGCGACGCCGGATTCACCCCGGAGTTCGTCAAATTCCTCGACGCGAAGTCGCCCGAAGTCAGGGTCATGGCTGGGCAGGCGCTCCTCGGAATGCTGACAATCCCGAGGAACAAGAAGAGGTTCCTCCACGACGATTCCAGCATCAAGATCATCCTCCAGCTGCTCGACGACGGAGTAGCAGAAGAACAAGTAGTGGAAGAGACGAATCAGCATGGTAACAAGAAGGTTCTGATCCAGATTTTGATGTCGTTAACGGCAAGCAACAGCGGGAGGAGGAAGATTGCAGGGTCTGGTTATCTGAAGAGCATTGAGAAGCTCGCCGAAGCAGACGGAAGCTCCGACGGGAAGAAGCTTGTGAAGAAATTGGGGGCCGGCAGGATTCGGACATTGTTCAATGGGATCATTTGGCATTCGTGAAGATCAGAATTCAGAATTTGTTGTATATTAGGTAAAATTGGGGTTCGTTATTTGTTCTGATAATTATACTTCTTTTCTTGTGCCAGCTTTCTTAGCTTTTGATGATCATAATCACAATTGTGGAATGTGTTATTGTAAAGAACGGAAAAAAGAGAGTGTTCTTAGGAACTTCCGGCTTTCTACTTACTGATTGTGCTGCAGAATCAGAATCGCCATTTTTGTGCAGCAGCTTTTCTGTGTAAAACTTTTATATGGATTGAAAGGGAACATCCTAATCTAATAAAAGAGAAGGAAGGGGCTAGACAGATTCTGTTCTCTAGAGTGTAAAGTTCTGTTCTTTCTTTGAGGCAGACTTATGAATGAGATTCTTAAGTTCTGTTTCCTGCAGGAATCCTGAATTTCTCAATAAGGCGAGATTGTGTATTATTCCCATTCGAATTCATTATCAATTGATCGTCGAATGACAATGATTTGGATCGAATATGAATCCAGATGAAGTTTGGATCGAATCGAATGTATGTAAGCATTTGGTTTAGTTCCGATTCCAGATAGAATCTAAATGAGAAATAAGTGGAGTGGATCGAATCGAATGTGTTTTGATCTCTCATTATAGTATCATCATTTTGGGTTTATCATTGATGAAATGATGATGTACCCAATTTGGGTGGCTGGATTAGATGCCGGATTAGACAATTGCATTGGAAGTGAGAGCACATGGGGAATGGGGCAATGGAGGGAGAAGGAGTTAGCTAGGCAACAACAAAGGGAAACAAGAGCATGTGGAGTGGTGTAGTGGGGATTACAAGTAAGTATCGGGAAGGGAAGGGGACTATCTTCTTCCTTTCTATTTGTTTTGTTTTGTCTGTTCTATCTAATCCACCAGTTAGCCAGCCAGCCAACCAGAGAGAGAGAGAGAGAGATGGAGTTGTCTTGTAGCTTTGTGTGCATGAGATGGAGCTTTCATATGGGGGCTGATGACCAGACCAGACAGTGGGGTTGATGGACGCATTTAAGGTGCTGCATAGATTCAGCTAAGGAAGGAACTGATCTACCTGTCAACTGTTATCTCATCTGCCCTCACTACAAACAAAGTGAAATCCCAGCTCAGCTGGTAGTATGGCCATGGCTGAGTTGGATCTACCAGATGAAAAACAAAAGCTTCATGGGTGGATAGTGGTGATCTGTGGAACTGGGGTGTTTATGGTTCTGGATCTGGATTTTGGCTTTTGGTTTGATATTTTTCAGACTTGTAATTGAATCTTGATTGAAGGTTGAAGTTGTCATAGTTTCCAAGGTTCGGTTTTGGACAAGTGAAAGAAGGTTCAGAAGAAGCCAACAAAGAGTTTAAGAGTCCAAGTTGCAGGACAAATGAAACAGCATAAATTCCCCGGACCACCTTTTGCTTTCCCTTTTTGCAACCAGATCCCTTTGGGAAGAAAACAAACTTTTAGAGAGCTTCCGGCACTTGTGTGGAAGCGTGGCATGGACAGATTGAATCCATGGGCCGAAGTAGGCGGTTGAGGGAATGAGATGAACCACCTTCACAACATCCAAGCTGGGGAAAACTCGACTGCTAGTTCCAGCCCAAATATCAGCCCACGATGAGCATCTCCTTTTGTTAGAATATATGTCAGGTTTCATCAGATCATGGGCTTTTCGGCGTCTCATAGGCCCACTTCAAGTACTCCCGCCATCCCGTTGTTTTACTCTGTGCCGTGAAACAATGGGCTTTTTTGAGGCTTTTCCTCATTTCATTCATCTAACTCGGCTGTACCGTATCGAAGACCCAGAAACGACAATGGAAGGCCAGACTCGACAAACCTTTGACCAGTCAAACCCAAACAACATTGTTTGCACGATGTATTTGTTTGGATTTGAAAGTTCCACTTTTTTTAGATGAGAATTGATTATACATTTTGAAGTCATGATCAAAGTTCAAACTATCATTTCTACTATGTTTCTCTTCTTATATCAATGAGGGCAATATATGTAAATTTTACTTCACACACAAATTTAATTAACCAAATCCATAATGAAATCTGTGAAACAAACAATGGTATTTTTCAAGTTCATAATGAACCGAAAATCTTAAAACCTTCATTTTTCAAATCCACCGAGCCCTACTGCGACGATAGACGACGAATACAACCGAAGAAAGATATATTCATAGTTCCATACTACTATATGAAAATCGAATATACTTAACTTGGCAGCCTACATTTTGACCCTAAATTCGTCCTCAGCTCTACCTCCCCTTGTATTCTTCTCACCACTTGGACCAGCTAGCTTTGGAAACTGCAAGGTTGCATCTTTCAAATATAACTGGTATGATTTTCTTTTGTATTTGACCCGCTGATATATTCATGACTTTACCCTAGAGATTTTATGCAGAGACCAAATTAATATTTCAACGTGGAAACCAAACGGCAGAAATGCATGAGGTGATGTGAAGAAACCGACCAAAAAAAAAACTGTAAACAATTATGCCCGCGGAATCGATCAATTCACCGTTGGAAAATTAAAGGCGACCGCCATATATATATATATACGTACCTTAATTACTTATTTGTCTGATGAAATTGTGATTGCAATCACGGTTTAACTTAGAAATTAATGATACCGCTAGCTAGCTAGGCTGTCAGATGTCTTGTTCGGTGTCATGATTTGGGCTGCAGATATCACATTTTTCATATATGCACCCGTGGTGGTTCGTTCTATACTCCGTTTGCACGTGAAAAAGAAAAACTATCTAAAGCGCGCAGTTGCTTTTGTAAGTTCGTACGACCGCTTAGGCAATTTGGCAGCAGGCCACTTGCCGTTTAATATTAGTGTCGTGATTAAGATTAGAGCTTGGGCGACTTGGAGCCTAGCTTGGACTATAACTTAAGGTAAGAAGAGACAGACTATAACTTAAGGGCACGTCTAAAGTGTACTTACTGACGTTGAATATATCTTACATGCTTGTGTCATTTATCATTTTGCAAATGATTACTACCAAGAGTTCAATTTGTTGGAAGAGATTCAATAATGGATCTTATACCACTAACTAACACACCCCCCTCGAACGAAAGCCAGTCACAACTCAGTCCGAATACAAGAATACGCCATGTGCTTCACAAATGGGGGGTCACCGGAATTCGAACACAAGATCTCTCGGTCGCATGAGGCTCTGATACCATGTCAAAAAACCAGTCGATCCCAATCACTCGAGTTGTTGGGAGAGGTTTCAATAATGGATCTTATACCACTAACGAACAGTTTCCGATCTGTGTTCAGTTTCGTTCCTGGTCCATTCTGTAATTCATATCTACACGTTTTTCCTCATATTTTGACCTTTCTAAAATCATATTTTCATCTCAAAGAAAATGTTAAGACTCTACTTTCAGCCGTTGAAACTCAATCGTCCGTAATACTATATTTCCCGTTCATTTATATGAATTGTTTTCTTAATGTGTATTTGTAAAAGAGTTAAACATCGCCATGATCCCCCCCCACCCCACCCCACCCCGAAACAATATAAGAATGTGTTCACCCGGCCCGCACAGTACCCACATTTAGTGCGAGGCGAGTATGGTATTTGAGGTACCCGTCTCGTCCTATCGCGGTCAATGGCATTTGTAAAGTTTTCATTTCCAATTTTTTTTTTTTGAAAGAGTAAACTTTACAAATTATTTGTAATAAACTCACCGACTTTTTCTTAACCATTTTACCAGCGGTAACATCGTATGCATCTGGAATTCAGAATCTATGTGCCAGATACGAGCATGCATCATAATAAGATGGAAGAAGGTTTAGCCAAATTTGGAGGGTTTGCTTAAATGTTTGTAAATATGTTCCAGTTTTGCGAAAGTTCAATCAAACCTCACCGGCCCACAAAGAGGACTATAAACAACGTCTCATGAAAACGGTCAAATACAATTGACAGACAGTGGGGCATTAATTATTTTTTTGCCCAAAATGCGAACCCGACGATTGTACCACTGTTGGAAAGATACGACTACTCCAGCAGCACAAGGATTCCAGGAATTCAATTGATTCGGGATCCAGATCCAACCACCCACCACTCTGCAAAATTAATAAATCACCAAAATTAAATATCTCCCAAATTAAATGCATTTATATCAAAATATGGGCCTTCCCTCTCCCTGTTCTATAAATTTCCCATTTCCGATCTCAACTAGCCGTTGCGATCTTCTGATAATCAATGGCCATGCAACTCTCTTTCTATATTTTTGAGAGAGTGGCACATCGTTTTCTTTCTGGATCGAGGCCCATCTGTGTGGGCCGGTTTTTTTTGCTTTCAGTCGAGACATTGGGTTTTGGACGAAGTAAACGTGGTATTGACTTCTGACATGTTTCGTATGAAATGAACGGTAGAAGAAGATTGCATCAAACTTCGTCATGCATTGACCTATTCGCAAAGGGCAGCGTATAAAGTATATATATCTCGTCTCTGGTCTTCCATCCACATATAATTATTGTCAATTTATTGTTTGCTAAGAGGTGCCGATTTCGTTATTTTCTAATTAAGATCCTGCCGCTCGTGTCGTCTCCATCAAATTTCTCTGAATCTGGTGTATTAATTTCGGATGTCTAACAACTCAACATCCATATAGTATATACACAACCAACAACAGTTAAAACAAGAGCAATGAGACAACAAATGCTACAAGGAAATTTTAGTATTAATTCATTTGTATCAATCTCTAACTTCATATTTTCACATTTAGCTTCACATTGTCGTGTACGATTAAATTATATGGTGACGGAGAAATGATTGATATATAGCTGGAAATATCTCGTCGATTTTATTCTCTCTCTCTTTTTTTCAGATGTGAATTTTACTCTTGTATATAGTTAGTTGTTCGTAATCTTTGTCCCCACCTCCAACTCCAAATATATTATATATGTGTGATATAGACATGAAATTTTTATATTGAAAACAACGGCTCCCAATTATACGATTGCTCCTCCAATAATAATAGTTTTTTTTTTAATAT